AAAAAATGCACAAGATTCCTCAACGACACCACCCAAAAAAGACAGACGGAGAAGCTCAAGTACGTGGCTGACTACAAAAAAAAACGATGCCCGTTGCATTGTAAATAGATCTGGGTCTGCACAACTGAGAACTTGTGACGCCGACGCGCGTCGAGGAATCTAGAAAGTGAGAGAAATGCTCTGGGTAGTCAGCCGACTGCGTCCCATATTACTTGTGGCCTACCTTCTTCTACCTCCTGGCCAGATACTAGGAGTCCCATGACATGCATACTTACTTGGTGGCCCAGATTATTTCGACTGGAAGATCCGCTGGTAGACATCTCCGCTTCCGGCCGCGCCGCGCCGTGTACCAGATTCCGGGATGCCGTTCAGTCCGCAGGGGCCCCAATCCGTAGGGGCCCTGGTCCTAGGGGCCCTGGTCCTAGGGGCCCTGGTCCTAGGGGCCCTGGTCCTGGGGGCCCTGGTCCCAGGGGCCCTGGTCTGAGCAGGGGCCCTGGTCTACCCGGATACCGTGTGCTACTGCTATCAGACTCTGCGCCCTATGACTTTGCAACAATGTCACTAGCCCCGGCCTTGATCTTACCCCGCCAGCCACTGCTGGAAAAAAAAGGAAGCAAGTCCCTGCAGTTTTGGAAAAAGGCGCAACGAGTGGGGGGGGACCACAGGAGTCACCCCCCCGCAAGCTGCGCACGCGTTGAAGTATCTGCTGCTTATTTCTACATGAGCTATCTGCCTCATCACGTAGCGACTCCAACAAACGAAGTGCTTTTACGAAGCGCGACGCTTTCAAAATACGAAGTGCTTGCTTCTTTCTTTCTTTACGAAGTTCTTTCTTTACGAAGTTCTTTCTTTACGACTTGTCATGCTAAATCTGAATCAGGAGAAAAACTGTGTTGCATGAACAGCAAATAATTTGTGATGCTGCATTTGGATGCTACAAAAATCTGTATTGCATGAACAGCAAATAAAGCGGTCCAGTTTTTGCCCCGGCGAGAGGGCATTTCTCATGCGGCATAGGCATCAGAAAGCCCTCACAAAATCTGTGATGCTAGGGCATCAATCACAGACGTCAGGAGTCATGCAAAATATGCATGACAAACCTGGCAACATTCCAGACCCAGACACTTTTGCATTCGATATGTCTTCGCCTTGTCCCGCAGGATGCTTTCCGTGGTCGTGCTGCACGTTGGTCTGCTGCTCGTGCTGGTCGCTTGCTTCCCCTGGCAGAGAGCCACCAGCTGCTATCACAAGAAAAAAGTGCTCCAGTTACACATTTGCTGGAACTTCACCGAACACAAATTTTCTCATCTGTGTGGCAGGGAAAACTTGCAATGCAGAGATCCCAAGGGATGAAAACACGTACTAGTACGAAATGAAGTTCGCACTCGCAAGCATTTCTGGCATGGCAAAGGTTGTCTGTCTTGCGGCTCCTGCAACACAATGTGTATCCCGTATACACTTTTTTCTTGCGATAGCTGCTTCCGCTTCCCCTTCGTCCCGCCGCTTCAGAAATTTTTCTTCGGTCGTCTCCAAACGCGTCGCTCCCACAAAGATCGTGGAGGTCGTGAGCAACAAGTTGTCGCTGCTGGAAGCAAGCCAAAGCCCACAAGCGGCGAAGATGTTGCTTTTCATCTTCGCCTTCGTCATTTTCTTGCCGGGGACAAAGACGAGGAGTCGTTCTTGTCGCCGGCGGCTGCGCTTCTTGTTGATGTAGTTGTACTACAAGTGCGATCTCGTTGTGCCTCCTCTCGGGACGAGATGCGGGGGAGTAGACGAGCACTGCTTGCAACGTTTCCTCGTTTCTTCAAGTGCGAAGATGTGTACTCCTTGTTTGCGGTCAGTTTTTGACTCTTACTCCTGCGCAAGCGCGACAGTACTCCTCGTGCGAAGATGCAGGTTCGATTTCAAGCTGCGGTAGTGTCCTCCAGCGCCCGAGCGAGACGTGAAAATTGTTGGTTTTGTTGTTGTCAGGGGTGTTAGTGCGAAACTTATTCGAGTTTAGTGATAGTGCGAGAATTAGTTGTTATCAGGGATGTTTTTAGTGCGAGAATTCGAGTTTTGAACAAGTATAGTCGAGGAAGTAGTTTTTGAAAGTACTTTAGTAATGCTTGAGGGTAGTGCTTAGATTTGGATTTCGGTTTTAGTGGGTGTATTCGTTTCTTAAACAAAGTTTTTGCGTATTTTTGAAATCTCCTGCAGGTGTCGGGAAGACATAAAAATTTTGTTTTTTTATTAATACAACAGTGTCATGACTGCATGCGCAAGCGATCATCTGCTGCAGCTGCTCCTTCATGTCATCATTGTGCTGGATATCAAACGTGGCATACCTCACAACTTACACTACCACAAAGCGGCCGCTACCACGAAAAGAGATTGATAGAACCGAGTATGTTGTAGCATAGGATTTATTTCACGCCGGGAACGAAGTGCGCACCATGCATACGCGTAGTAGACCGATGACGCTGCTTGTCGGAGCAGATGCAGACCGAAAGGCGGGCGCACGCAGCTCCGATCTGCAGATACCACGAACTAACACGACGACCGAAGATGGTGCAAAAATCTTCGTGACGAGCAAGATATTAAGTGACGACTTCTGTGGAGGCAGTGGCAGGACCAGGTGCAGGAACCGAAAAACTCTCAATCACCACCGAGGTGGAAGTTACAGTTAACCCTAGGGGGGAGTGAAATTGATATTTGAAACGTCGCACTCCAACCATAGAATGACAACCGATCAGCTGGAGGTACTACAAGTAAATACGACCGCCACCTCTGGAGCGGCATTTTTGATAACAAGGAGGTGCAGGAGAGCTATAGTTTGATAGCAAGTTGTGGCACTCATGATCTACTTTGTTCTCGTAGTTTTCAACTACCAATCATACCGCGTAGTCGTAGTGGCTGTGCGAGAATTATGTTTTTTCCACTTTGCTCTGGCAGCTGAGCTCACAGCTTAGAGCTGGACCGGAACTACAAGAACAACCTGACCACGAATTTATTATTTGTGGACCGGAAAACTTTTAACCCTTCTACGAAGAGCGGTCTCGTGTTCTATTTCCGTAGTTCATGTTCATCTAAACACACTGACGCAGCTCCTTCAGGTTCTCCATTGCTGAAAGTCGAAGAACTTTCTCCAATCGTACAAAATAAATTGTCATTTCTTTCTTGAAGATGAGAGACAACATTCTCGACGACTGAACGCAACGAATGAGATGTTGCACTCTACTAGCGGAATTGTAAATAGAGAAGAAGAGGACAAAGAAAACAATAACGATGATTCTAAGTCCTCATCTTGCTTGGCTCGTGGCTCCTTTCACTGCACCTGCGGCCCAAGTAGAAACGTTTTATCTGTGCCCCAAAAACAGCCAGTAATACCGCAAGAGCATGTTCAACACCGCGTGTGAAGCTCGTCTTGTCATCGATCGAATAATATCTGCTGGTGAAAGCAGTAGGCCTGGCACCGGCAAGGCGCATCTATAAACTTGTTGTAGTTCCCAAATTATATGATGATCATTCATGCTGCAGACCCTACGATTCTTTGAAACACGATGGCGCGCCACACTTGCCGTACAGCTCGGACGTGTTTCTTGTTGAATTCCGCCATTTTCTGCCGCAAAGAGTCCGCAGCGACGCCGGGACGTCGTTGTCCGGGTTCTTCTACTTCTTGTGCGGCTTCACTACCAGGACCAGGTTCCCCCAGCTGGTCATCTACTTCCCCACGACCACGACCTTGATAAGGTCCTGGATTTGCGGGAGGGCTATAGAGGTTCGGTAAGATCTCGTGTGCGATTTCGGCCACGGACTTGAAATACAGGACGTGCGGAAAGAAGTAGAAGTTCGAAAAACGTTCCCAATACTTCGCTATCCTGTGCAAGAGTATCCCACTCAATCATGCATTACAAATTTTTTTCTCACGGTAAATACGCATTGCAATTTTTTTTTCTCATGCTGAGGGAACAATTTGTCATGCATTTATACGAGTACGATACTTTTGCAGTTCATATTCGCCCGATCGTATTCCAGCGGTCGGTGCAGCTCGATCTTGCTCGATTGGAACGGAGAAAATCGTAGCTCTTGTGCCTCGTCGTGTTCCTGTTCCTCTGCCTCTAGTACTTGTTTCTGTTGTTCATGTTGTTCTAGCGTTGCTTTACTGCTTTTCACGGAGCCTTCGACGTGAGGCGAAGTTGTAGGGAGGTTTATTTCATCATCGTCTCCACCAAGTTCTGGACTTCTAGTGAAGAAAACCAGTCTTGTATCGAAGAAAAAAACTGTGTTAGTGTAACTCTAACTTTCTTTGGCTGACAGCATCACAAATTTGCATGTACGTGACAGAGAACAACAAAACCTGTCATGCGTGGCTTGCCAGGGAAAACACACATGAGCCCAGGACTTCATGGTTGTCTGGCATGACAGGTGTATACTCTGTTGCATGTTCTGCATTACAAAGCTACACCTACACAATTTTTTTCTTGCATATCTTGCCGCGGCCTGCCACTCCATGTCTGGGTGCGTCAGCGGTCCCTGCATGTACCGCCACACGTCTACCGGCAGCAGGATCGGCACGCAGAGCAGGTAGAGTTCGTGGAACAGAAAAATCGCCGCGTCGTAGGGAAAAAGCACCGCGGCGTGAAACTTCTCTGCTAGCTTTTCGTACGGGAACTGCGGCGTGCGGATTTCGGTCCATTTTTTGGACGATGATGAACCAGCCGACGAATTTGGAGGTGTCGCTTCGCTGGTTGAAGAAGATGATACATGACTTGCGTTAAAAACAGCGCTCTTCTCCTGCTCCCTACTTTGCTCCGCCAGGAAATCCTCTAGGAGTTGCAGAGACCAAGGGGACGGGAGACCGTCGTCGCTTCCGATTTCCCGTTCTCCTGTAGTTACAACAGCAGAAGTCGTAGATCTACTCTGCTGCACCATCGTCCTCTTGTCCATCGTCCCTTCTGCTTTATTTTCTACTCGGCGAGGAGCTTCGTTAATATCGGCCAGGAGCCTCAAAGCAGAGCCGAGTAGACACTCCACCAGGTATCCGTTCATGCCAGAGCGACCGATGAGAAGCTCTCCACCTCGAGGCTGGTTCTTCTTGCCGGTTCTCTTGATGTCGCCTCGAAGATGAACAGGGGCGTCGTTTGTCGTAGTGCTGTCTACTACATGATCTTGATCTCCTGCGATTTTTATGTGATCCAGAACATGCAGCCCAAGCATTGGCACGAGCGGAATTACCGGATAGGTTGGACGACGTATATTCTTGGTCTCGACCCCAAGAGCACCCGGCCGGAAACCGAACTGGTAGCCAAAAGTTTCCTATCAAATGCAAAAATATCTGGGTCTGGAAGAATGCGCGACTTGCCATGCTGCTTTTCCATGACCCATGAGGTTTGGAATGCAGGACCTAGCATGACAGATTCTGTGCGATCTCTCTCATGCCTATCCCGGAGGAGAAACTCCCTTCCGACTTGGTGAAAACTGGACGACTTTTGGTAATCACGCAGCACAGATTTTTGCATGCTTCAGATTTAGCATGACAAGTTGCAACCTTCCAGACCCAGACATTTTTACATTTGATATTTCCTGTGCAAACAGAGAATTGGCGAAGACAAGGCTGTATCCTGTGCAAAAGTATCGTACTCGTATTGCTATCATGCATTACAAATCCTTTTCTTAAGGTCAATCCGCATTACAAATTTTATTTCTCATGCTGAGGAAATTTGTCATGCATTTATACGAGTACGATACTTTTGCAGTTCATAGGCTGGATCGAGTGATTTTTGACGTGCTCTCGTCCGGACCACCAGCATCTTCTCGTCGTGCAGCTGGTGCCTCAGGCACCAGCAGGAGTCTCCGAAACGCGGCGCCCCACGCATCTTTGCCCGTCAGTGGCTGAGTTTCGACGCCTTGTCCCATTTCGGGTTCGCTAGTAGGAACGCTCTCAGTTGCACCAGTTTCGATCTGAAAAATACAGCTCGGCTCCGTTGGCAGCATCCACATCAGCGGCAAGCCGATGTAAATCATGATTCGTGTAGTTCGTCCGGTTGGTGTCCACATGTTTTTCCCGCGGCCGACACCTCCATTTGCCGCTAGCGCCGCAGCCTCGACGTGGAGGTCCTCGCCGGTTTTGAAATTTTCCCTTTCATCCAGCTGGTACTGGTTGTGCACTACTTTGGTATTTTTTCCCTCAAGATCCAAAAAGAACCTGCAGAAGGAAATTGGCTGGGTGCAGAGAACGAAATCAATTTGGCGTCTTGTTTCCGTTGTTCCATCTTCCACGATCTTCTCGTGGAAAAGTTCTATCACCATTTTCTTTGCCGCCAAAAAATCCAGTTCGTTTCGCCGGTTGGCCTATCCTGTGCAAACGGATCGTACAGGTATAATTGCAGTCATGCATTACAAATCCTTTTGCTAAGTCAAATCCGCATATTTTCTTTCTCATGCTGAGGAAATTTGTAATGCATTTATACGAGTACGATACTTTTGCAGTTCATATGGCCTCGAAAATTTCCCGAAACTGGTCTCGGATTTCTGCCTTGCCGTTGCACAAACCGAAGTTGTGACAGATGTTTTTAGCCAGGGAGTATCCGTGCCAGCGGAATCGGATCTTTTTCTCAACATGTTGATGTGTGGTGGTGGGGGTTGTACTACTTCCAGCAGGTAACGGGGTGCGTTTCTTGTCATGCTGGTCCTCGTGCAGAACTGGTGCACTACTGAACTCTTCATCTTCAAACTCGGACAGCATCCGCTTGAACTCCCCGGCGCAAGCCGTGTGGGTGTCGATTTGAAAAATTTCGATGACGTGCGTCGCAGAAGTAGAACGAGCCGCTGTTGCAGCTTTTTCATCGAAAAGCCGCGCCGAGAATTCTTGTTCACGTCGGTGGAAAAAGGCGGAGAGGACGTCGCTGCCTTGTTTGGCAGAAGCAGCAGATGAAGTACTACCTGTACTACCATGTGGTGCAGAAAAGAAGTTATTCGACGAGCCCACGAGCAGGAGCCCCCGCGCGTACATCGGGAGGTCAAAGGGTGGAGCCATGTTGCTCGTGGAGATGATGATATCATTCTTTGCAAGAACTTCGTGTTCATCAAAATCTACTTCCGGAAGCAGGAGCCGGAGATCATCGTCCCCCCCGTCAGCTAGGCCAAGCTGACTGACTAACCGCCGCCAGTAGTACTCCAATGCGCTTGCATGTTGGTGCCCCCCTTCCGGCGACAAGAACAGGCGTAGTGAGGAATCCGATTTTTTTCCCGCATTTTCTTCCGGCAAGGTTGATTATCAAATGCAACTACGTCTGTTGGGTCTGGAAGTTGTAGAGCACACTTTTTCTTCAGCATGCATGATCTGCAGGAGCAGATAAATCAGATGGTCTGAAACGCACGCCAAGCATTCATTTTCATTTACTACAATTACAGGTTCTGCCTGCATGAAAGAAAACTCGCTACTTGTGTAGGAACAAGTGGGCATTGCGGTTTGGCAATCAGGCAATAGAATTTTTTGTCTCGCTCCTCCAGGGATTTTTAGCATCACAAGTTGTTGGAACTCTCCATCCCAGAGGACGCGAACGCGTTTCCGATTCCTATCGATGTAGTTCCAGCTGATTGGCCCCCGGCGCTGGTTCTGGTTCCACCTGGGTTGTGATACAGCACGAAGCCATCCGCCGCGGGGCTATTGAGGTTGCGGATGATGTCGGAGAAATGAATGCGGGACTTCGTTTTTTGTTCTCGTCGTCGTCGTCCCAGAGTTTTCATGTTAAAAACATGATCCACCGCCACCGTGAACACATTGGCGTACCCGTGGAGTAAAAACGCCAAGTACAATGAGCGAAACGCGAACTGGAAGGACGTTTGCCATTTCAAAATCGAGTCCATCAGCAAGGCGTCGATGAGTCCGCGGAGGCAGAAAGAGCTTTTAGTATTGGGGCTTCTTGTTGATAGAACTCGTCCTGGTTCTTCCCTTTCGTCGTCCTCTAGATCAACACAATTTGTCGTCGTGTTCTCATCTGGAACAACTCCTTGCGAACCTTCCCCACCAGCTCCACACTTCTTTTCCCCCCCGTCGTGAAGATGCTCTTGTTCAGTAGGGCTCGTCTTGATGCTCTTTGTTCCCTCATAAAACCCGTAAAACGGCAGCACATACCGGTCCAGATTCCTCCGTGCATTTGTCGGACAGTGGTCGTCAAAAACTTGCAACACCGCACTCCAGTCAGCCAGGTGCGCCGAGCTGGTGCAGGGAGGGGAACAGACTTGCGGCAGGTTTGTTTCGATAATGAATTCCACGGCTTTTTCGAGAGCGGACAACTCGCGGACGGCCGCATGATCTTCATGGTCTTCCGGCAGTGATGTCCTGGTGTCAACGGCAGCGGAAGAGGTTAGACCACCACCACCTTCACCGCCTGAAGGATTTCCCATCACGAAGTGTTTCAGCAGAACTTCACGATTCAGGAGGATTTGGCGCTCTTCGTGTGACGTTCTGTCAGAACTACCTACTTCTCCCGTTGTTTCAGGAGCAGAAACAGAATCCGCCCGCGCCCAGTCTAGGGACCTCATCAGCTTCCTCATGGCGCCGTGGATTACCTTCTGTGGTGGTGGCGTGGAAAAATTATTCGGAGAGTCTGAGTCTTCCTCTTCTCGCTCTTCGAACATCAAGTGAATATTGTGATTATCAGGGCGCGTGTCGTGGCCAGGCTGGGGTTTCTTTTTTTGTGGTTCGGCATCTCCTCTCATGCGATGAGGATCGCCGTCCGCGCCTCCACCTTCTCCATCTTTCAGAGTCGCAACATCTTTCACGACGACCTCAGGAGCAGAAACTCGTCGATCTGGGCAGTTCTCCAACACCTCAAGCAGATTTCGGGTACGACCACCGGGCGTATGTACAAGTCGTGACTCCTCGATGTAGTACTTGTTGCCCGAAGCTGAAGCCGCTCGGTCATCAACAAGCGGTGCTGTGGCACCAGTAGCAGAAACAAACAGCCGTAAGAGCCTCCACGCGCAACAAACAACCAGTAGTCGTCCGCGAAAGCGAGTTGACGATTCGTTTTTGCCGTGCGACATTTTCTTTTTATTGTTCTGATAGAGAAATAGCTCGTTTATTTTTGTTCTCTATCTCTTCAGGACGGGAAGGTGAGTATAAGTTTGTAGTTGTACGCAGATCACTCTACTGCCCGTGCCCCTCTTCGCTCGTTATAATTTCGACGTGTGTAGATACCGCGGAACAATCAAACGCAGATGTAGTAGGAGAAGAAAAACTACTTCTTTGTGCTTCTGGAATTCGAATTCTTTTTGTGAAAGTAAGTACTTCACAATTCTTGATTTTGATTTGCCATTTTGATCGTTGCCACTGGCTTTGACAACTCACTGCTCGCTTGTTTTACGAAGCGATGGCTGCAAGTGTAGTACTTCTTTCTGTAATTGTGTTTTCACGTTGTTTACACTTTCCTTTTTTTGTTTGCAAATAATGAAAAGTAAAGCGCGATACGTACTTTGAAAAAAGAACCTGGTCATGTTGTTGGTCTCCTGCAGTTCCTTACACCAGCATAGTAGAACTTCTTGCACAGCGACAGCTAGCGTGTACTTTATTTCAAACAAATGGGAAGATACTTACCGCCTGGAGCAGCACCTAGAGATGGCGTTTACTATTTAGTATTTGTTCTTTGCGTAATATATTAAACAGCATGATACAACTTGAGAAAAGATCCCGGCGGCGTTGTGGAAGGCTTAGGCTGCAAGTAGACGGCACTAAACAAGTGAAAGCGCTTCATCCTATCGCAGTGCCGCCTTTCCTTTAACTCGCTGCAGCCGAAATGTCAAGGCACTAGAAAATAGCCTCGCGGAAGAGTTCAACAGTATGTAATAATCTATCACATCTCGTGCAGATGAACGCAGCAATAGGAGTAGAAGTCCAGCAGCAAAGCCAGCACGATGTTCGACAGTTTCCGGTTGTAGGAGTAAACCTCGATCAAATTGCCCTTCGAGGAAATCTTCACCCCGATGTGCAAATCCTGCTCAGTCAAGCTGCCGTGCTTGACTAACGAACTCCCGAGGCAAACCTCCGTGTTCCCATTCGCACTTCGCTTCCGTTCGATCTCGCAGAAGAGTCCCCCCAGCATATCCTATGCAAAAACGTCCTCGCCCATAGCTGCCATGCAAATCGGCATGCTGAAGATCTTTCTGAAGCGGAGCCCCATGAGAAGCAATTTCTAGTCGTGTTTGGAGATTTGTGATGCTTCAATCAGACTGATAGAATACACCTGTGATGCTGGTGCACTAGCTAAACACGACTACACTACAGCGCCAAATTTGTCATGCGCAAGTGCCAAAGCTTGTTGCTTTGTCTAGCAGATTTCCCATCTTGACTGTGGGGTGGGGACGTTTTTTCTCAGGATACAGTGTGAGGAATTTGGTTGGAAACGTTTCGCCAGTAATCAGGTCGCCGGGCGGCGGGGCCTGCGGGTTATTTTCGGTTGATTTGTTTCACGCTTTTACTGCTTTTACAAACATAGATAAGAAAGTAATCGGTCGCGCTGGTGCATGGGAAAAAATCACGATCTAGTTTTTCTGATTCATACATAATGACAAATATGAATTTGTTGCACTTTACCTTCGACGCCGTTCTCGCCTTGTTATCCGGCACGGAGCTCAGATCCAAGAGTATGGAGAGAAAGATACTTATTTTCAGCGTAGCTAGTAATCATACTCTGCACGACCTAGTTCCCTGCTGCACTATGCCTCTGAAATTTAAAAATCTAGCATTAGCATCACAAGTTCCAACACAACTCGTCGAATCCTCGTCCTCCCTAGGACTATGAGAGAAGCACGACTTGCCAAAGAAAAAAATGCAAACGACCACTTCGAGGCAACGACTTACTGAAGAACAAATTGGGTCACGTGTATTACTAGCTGCCAGAAATAAATTTAAACTTCGTTTGCACTCCGCTACTCATCCCAGAAACCATGTTTCCCGAGTCTTCTCGCACGCAACTTGCCATGTGCCGGCTTAGTTCCTGCGGCAAGCATTCCTATCCACTGCAAACGATATCGATCATCTGGGTCCGTCTGACAAGTGGAGTGGAATGTCAGACAGGCTTGCTGGCATGGCTCAGATCAGAAGGTCTCGAAAAATACGGCGAACAAGTAGAAGTACAAGAGAAGTACTATCACAAGTTTTATGCTGACATGAGGATGAGCTTTGCAATGCCTAGTGCTCTGTAGCATGAGACGTCCTGTCGTCCCGAGGCGGCCTAAAATGGACAGCTTTGCTTCTCACGCGCATCAACAGAAGATTTTTGTGTGACTGATAGTTGAGATGAGCATCAAAAAGATATATGCACCTGGTGCAGCTTTCCTGAACGCAGAAACCCAGAAAGATGTACAACATATGTTTGCAGTGCATAATTCCCAGGGTAGAACGAATTTCAACAGGATAATGGGCAGCGCGAACGTGCACTCGTGTTGTGCCCGATCCCGTTATGAGAGTGCACAAGAACCCCCCCTCCCCCTCATTTGTATGGCATTAACAGCATTACAAACACCAGTACACGTGCAGCGAACACATGACAAATTTGCGTGCCTGGTGTGGTCCTGTTTGGGCTTCCGGAGTCTCTCATGCAAACAGTGCCACAAGGCAGCGATGCGACTGGATTTGGGTTTTTGCATGACAAATGAGGGGGAGGGGGAGCTGCGCACTGTCATACCGGTTTCGAGGTTGCCGTTGTCGCTGAGTCCAATACCGTGATATCGCACTTCACAAAAGGATGCGCCTCGACCAGCTCTAGCAACTCTACACAGATAGTTTGGATGATCACTTGCGGGGGCCCGTTTTCAGCGGTGGACGTGTTTGCGGCCGCGGAAATGGGGAGGGGAACCACCTGTGGAGATGGAGAGCGTTTTCAATTATAATTTCATGCGACTATATTTAGTAGGCATGACAAGAAAGAGCACAAGAACATGCAATCTCTCATCGGCAGTCCATGTCAAATGTACTTTTACTTACCTTCAGCCCCTTCACGTCGTTGTTGGTGCACTTCTATGCATTGCAAATATGTCTGGGTCTGGAACTTGTGATGCTGCCTTTGGATTCTATAAAAAAATCTGCACTGCATGCCCAGCAAGAGGAGTCAATAAATTTGGCTACGCGAAAAGAGCATTTGTCATGCGGGTTGCGCATCGGTAAACGCTCAAAAAATCTGTGATGCTAGGGAATACATTACAGACATCTTCATGGATCATGGAAAATGTGCATGACAAACTTGTCCTCTTCCCGACATATTTGCAGTTGATAACTTCAAATGAATGGACTCGAACCCGCGGGAAACTAGTTTAAGATCGATCCTTCCGGCGAGTAAACCTCTCTCCGCGTGGTGGTAGAAGTCATCGTTGTTGTAGGGGAAAGATTGGAGCCAGTAGACTTCTAGTTCCTCGTTTTGGAAGAGTAAGTTGTGGTCCCCAGCAGTTGAGGCCCCAGCGCCGACGGTATTGGAAGTCTCCTCGTCCACAGTTGCGCACAGTAGCCGGAAGAACCGCAGTTTGTTTTCCGAAGACAGATCCAAATTCTTCCCCGGTAAGTGCACGTTGACGGGCTGAAGTTTTTCCAACAGTTTCAGCTGCTCGTTGTCGATCTTACCAGCAGCATTTCGATCTAGACCGGAGAGGTTTTTAGCGGACAGGTTTCCACCGGGACCGATGTCCAGCAGCTTCTTGGCTTCGGTGAGCTTAAGCTGTGATACAGGTCGTTGTATTAATTTTGATTTTTAATTTCATTGGATTACAGAAGTATTAGTATAGTCCTGCAGTCTACAACTACTCCATGCGGTGAAATGGGCAGCAGAGGGACCAAGAATGGATGCAAAAAGAAAAAGCCGTTGGTACAGGAGTCTGTCGTGCAAGAATCAACAATCGGTGCTGTGCTAGAACAGGTCACCAGACCAAGGTGGATAGTGCCTAAACCAGACTAAGGAGGAAACAATTAAAGTACTTCCAGCTCCCGGTCTTTTTCTTCGAGAACCATTCGCAGTTTTCCCAAATCAGTCTCCATCCTGTCCCTCTCCATCTTCTCGGACTCCAAATACTGCACCCGGGTGGTCAAAGATGCCGGAAAAAAACATTGTTAGTGTAAGTGTGTGATGCGCAACACTTAAGACGATTGCGTCTGTCATGCTGGACATGCATTGCAAGGCAAATTCAAGCGCGTTTTGACATGCTATCTCCGCATGACAGGTTTCTGCTGTCATGCCAGACAGCTTTGTAATGCTGATCAGCCAAAAAAGTTACACCTACAGTCTTTTTTTCTTGGATATCAGAAACTCGTGGTCCTTTCTGTGCAGCTCCACGGTGTTATACCCGTGGAGATTCAGCGCTTCGTAGTCTAAGATGAGTGGTTCCTCCGTGCTCAGACCATTGCTGAACCCCGTATGGGAGTGTCAGGATCGAAATCGACAAAATCGAAAAATTTGCAATGCATAAAATGTAGGGCACGTATGGCCTGTGTTGGGGAGGAGGCAAATAAGACCGATTGCGAGCCTGTTTAGGGGGAGGCGATGTGCTGCCAGAGTAGCACGACAGGAGCAGCGTTCTTTGCCCAAACAGCATGAGAGACTGGATTTTCGTGCTGCCGAAATTTGTCATGCGCCAATTGGAAACTGAGGCTCCAACTGGTATCGATTTTATGCATCACAAGCGATTTCGATTTTGTTGATTTCGATTCTGACACATCCATACCCCGCTACCCAGCCGTATTGGTTCGGATCTTCTAACAAGTCGCCTGGTATGATCTCGTATGCATTGTTTTGCAAATATTTTTGATCTTGGTCTGGATTTGCGAAAATGAGATGATATCTGAAGAAGCACAAGAAGGATTTGTATTTGATTTTGTGATGCATAAAATACGACTGGCAAGGTGTTTTGTCATGCTCCTGTGTTGAAACTCAGCCATGATCTGTCGTGTGTTTCATTACGAAAGAATCTGCAAAAGTAGTACAGCCTGATGCTGCTATGCTGTACAAGTTGCCACTCTGTAAATAAAGCAGCTTCAACAACACAAATTTGAATTTCCCAACCCAGTCATAGTTACTTTTGCATTTAATATCTCGCTGTGCTCCATCGCCACTTGCTCCCATACAGCGGGCTTTTCTTTCCCCTCGTCTTGCTCCTGCTCCGAATCTAATGGCTGCTCCGTGCCAGCAGAACCTCCCGCTGCTGCTCCACTCTTTGCTGTCATCTTGCCCCGCTTCAGCCAAACCTTGTAGAGCACGGAATGGTAGTCGACTTTGTTGCTGTTCGTCCCGGGCGGTGGACTGCTCGCAGACGTCCCGCCGGCCAAGGGGGGCGAAAACGCGGTGGAGCTACTGGATCCGCCTTCTTGGTACAGGGATCTGACCGCGAGCTGGTCTATGCAAGAAAGAAACTGCCTAAGAATTGTAATTCTGTAATGCAGCAAAAACCAACACAGCTACACTTGTCATGCCAGACAGCCATGCAGTCCACTTGTTTCCATGTGCGTTTTCCTTTTCACGTACTAGTTGTGCAACATGACAGGCTCGATCAGAAGTCACGCAGAGCCAATTTGTCATGCTATCACTCCACCAAAGCACCTACGCTAACACAGTTTTTCTCCTGGATATGGTCGTTGCTCTCTTCACACACCACGTGTATCCTTCGCGTCGGATTTTTGCTGGCGGAAGCTTGTTCCTTACTCGCGTCGTATCCAAGAAAAAAACTGTGTTAGTGTAACTTTCTGTGGCTGACAGCATCACAGATTTGCTCTACATGATCATAGAAAAAACCTGTCATGCGCGGCTTGTAAGGGAAAACACTGACATGGAACGAGGACTTCATGGCTGTCTGGCATGACAGATGTAACTCTCTTCCATATTCTGCATTACAGAGTTACACTTCCACAGTTTTCTTCTTGCATACGTCGTAGCGAGAGTGCACCGCGCGGTCCATTAGCGCGAACTCGCCCGTTCCGATGAGAAGCTGCTCCCCCAGGAAGGTCCCGTTGTCGCCGTCGTAGGCTTCGAAAAGGAGCAGAAAGGGTTTCTTCCGCAAATTATGAACTGGAACAGTATCGCGCTAGTAGTGATTGCAATACAAATTCGCTCAGCATGACAAATGGAATTTGTCATGCTGATTTGCCTAATATGGAACCAGATTTGTAATGCATGAATGCGATTAGTACTACGATACTTTTCTTGCAGAGCATACAAATCCCCTATCGCGTATTGCTGGATGGTTTTGTCCGCCTCGGTTTGCTATCAAATGCAAAAATGTCTGGGTCTGGAAGAATGCAACCTGTGATGCTGCATTTGGATTCCAAAAAAATTTGCATTGCATGAGTAGCAAAGGGAATGTAATTTTTGCTACGCGGATAGGGCATTTGTCATGCGAAGTAGGCATCAGGAACCCCTCGAAAAATCTGTGATGCTACGGCATGCATTACAGAAATCATGGCTCATGCAAAACGTGCATGACAAGTCTCAGAATCTCCCAGACCCAGACACTTTTGCATTTGATATTTGCAGGATCGTGAATTCCTGCTGGAGAATCTTCATCCTCTTGTCCACCTTGTCTTTGTCTTTTTGCAGCTTCGTCAACTCCTTATTCAGTTGATTCTGCACGTTTATCAAATGCAAATATGTCTGGGTCTGGAATGATTGCGCCTGTATTGCGTGTTTCGCATTCCTAAAAAATCTGTATTGCATATAGCAGCAAATGAAGCACCACGCTTTCCTCATGTTGCAAAAACGCACTTTGTAATGCGTCCTGCGCAGGACAGAGCGTTTGAAAAATTTGTCATGCTGCACTGCACTGAAAGGCACGGTGAATCATGGCCATTCAGCATTACAAGTTTCCAGACCCAGATATATTTGCAATGCATAACGTTTTCCCGCTGCCCCTTCTCTTCGTCAGCGGTTGTCTTCGCGGTTTTGGCTTGGGTCTCCGCCTTTTGGATAATTAAATGCAAGTCTTGCATTACAAATCTTTTTTTTACGGTAAATCCGCATTGCAAATTTGATTTCTCATGCTGAGGAAATTTGTAATGCATTTATACGAGTAGGAGTACGATACTTTTGCAGTTCATAAAATCATTCGTGAAACAAGAATGTAAATAAGAACCTGCTGCAGCTTCTGCCTCAGTTGCTGTGCCTCGGCCTGCTGCTGCGCGACCTTGGCCTCGAGGTCCTGCTTTTGCTGCGCCAAGGCATCGCGCTCCTTTTTCAGCTTGCCTCCACCAAAACAGGCCATCCTCCTTGATGTAGTAGCCTCGTGTTGTCAAATGTGATCAGCGGAAGACGAAACAACAAGCTTCTTGCCGCCAAGCCCAGGGGGTCCTCAGGCTGCACAGAGCAGGTGAATAGTCCTTGTTAACATTTTGCCTTGCATGTGGTCCACCTGCAGGACTGGACTGCGTCTACTCTTACTTCAGGACAAGCCAATATGATCAAAACAAACACGACAGTCACTAGTCAACACGATAAACCCTTTGCAGGACTAAGAAGTACCTCCACAGTGGCCAGACGTATGGAAATAAGCACTTCAAACGCCTACTCGACATGATTGACTATCCACTCACGTGCAGTTCTTCCAAGCCAAGATCTACGCTCTCGAATAAAAAGGAGGAAGGTGTGCACGAACGTACAACAAGACAAGATTTTTTTAAGTACTTTTATTTTTGAACAAGAAGAAGATTCTCCCTACAATAGCTCTCAGAAGAAGAAACCGAAGCAGGTTAAGTACTTATGAAAAGACAGGTCGTCCTCGTGGCTACTTGCATACCAAATCATGGCCGTGTCAGCCGATAAAGAAAAAACGAACGATGGGAATAAAGCGATGGTGTTAACAAAAGTAAGAGTAATGACCACTGAAAAGAACATCTTTCCCGGACGTTTCACCACAGAACGAGCGACAACTGGAGGCCGCAGGAGTACGGTTCGTCTGTAGAAGAGGACTTGGCTTGTTTTCTTTCGAACGTTATTCCCCTGCTCGGAAGGATAAAAAGTTTGGACTTTCAACACAAGATAGAATTATTTCATACTGTATAATGCGATTACTAACTTTGAGTTTATCCGATTTTTTATTCAATCGTCGAGTTTTACGACTCGTTCTATACGTCCTCTGCAGCTATGGTTACTTTTGGTACTTACTATCTTTACGCAGTGCCTTTACTCCGTCTATTCCCGCTGCTCCTTCTAGCCTGCCCTGTTGATGGTTCTTCTTCATCTCGGGTGTTTAATATTTTCACCCTCGTCCCCGCACCAGATGATGGCTCTTGCAGAATTTCTTCATCCCCCCGCAGGTTTTTGTGCACACCCTGCCTCGCACGGGAGGAGGAGGAGGAGGAGGTGCTGTCAAGAACTGCACGACTCCCGTCGTGGTTAAAATAATTCAAATCTCCGCCATCATAGTACGGCAGCTGCTCCCCCTCCCAGGCAAACCCGATCTTCCCTCGTCGCGTCCGCTCGTACGCCTGTTTCATCGACAGTGGAGTTTTTTTTGACCCATGGTCTACTTCTTCTTCAACAGGCTGCCCACCTAGCGCTAGAGCTGCTACTCCTGGCGCTTCTTCTTCTTCTTCATATCCCCCACGACCTGACAGTGGCGCGCCGGCGGCGAAGATAGACCCAGGGACTCCTGCAAGGCCGGAAGGCGGCACGAAGCTTGTCAAGCTCGGTTCTGTGTTCATGCTGGGCTCGATTGTGGTTGGCGCGTAAAACACATTCTCCGCCGCGGACTGGACGTGGACGACTTGCGGTATGATTTTTTGTTTCGCATCCTCGTCCACTTTCGTCGTACCCACGCCCTGTTCTCGTTGCAGTTTCTGTATCTGTTCGTAACTGCTGACCGGTGGGGAGAAAATCAAATTCCTGCCGTTTTCGGGGGCCAAAGAAAATCCCGGCGGCGGGGAGGGCAGGGGCATTTTGTTCTGGAATAAACCACGACCCCGATGATCCTGTCCACTGCGGTCGTTTATTTCACTGTCAAAATTGTTCCCAAGCTGCTCGGCCTCCTCAGGGTCCTGACCGTGAAGACTTCTCAGGCTAGTATCTGCCTCTGTATTGATGTTCTCGTCATCCGTATTAGCCTTGTCTAAATCTTCGTTGTCCATTTCGTGCTCCCAGGCATCCCCATCCCCCCAACGGTAGAAGTAAAGGTAGGCGGCTATCGCGAGAATGAGCACCACGAGGAGCACCACCAAGGTGACCACGACACAACAGCACGTGCTGCAGCCTCCGCTCTCTTGTATCCTGTGCAAAAATATCGTACTCATAGTAATCGCAGTTATACATCACAAATCGAAATCTAGTTGGTTAGGTAAATCCGCATTACAAATTTAATTTGTAATGCTGAGCCAATTTGTATTGCGATTTGTACTAGTACGATACTTTTGCAGTGCATATCTTGGTCGGCGAGTTGAATTACGTCCAGACGGAGCTGCTCGTCGTCTTTTAGCAGTTTCTATCAAATACAAATATCGATCTGGGTCTAGAAAAGAAGTGCAACATTTGTCATACACGTTTTGCATGACGCATGAGGTCTGTGAAGATGCATCTCCTGGCATCTTCACAGATTCTGTGAGATCTTTACCATGCCTTTTCCGCATGAGAAACTGCCTCTCGGCTTTGCTCAAAAGTGGACAGCATTATTGGTACTTAATCATGCAACACAGATTTTTGCATGATTCGGACCCAGATGACACATTTGCAAAAATGCATAGTTTCACGTTGAACCAGTCCGCTGCCCTCGTCTCTTCGTTGATGAGGTAGTAGGTGGAGTACTCTAGCAGCGTTTCTTCTCCCCGCAGCCCGACTTTGTAGGTTTCCACGCAAGACATCTTGTCGTCTGGCTATGCAATACAAATTTCCCGTACATGTACAGGATGCATCACAAACTTCACCAATTTGGAGAGTAAAACTTGTCATGCTAAACTAGGATCAAAGCCAATTTTTGTCATGCAGAGACCGCATTTGTACGTGTACGGGAAATTTACTGTGGATACTGGCGGGTCCCACACAATGCCGCACTCTTCGCAACTCCCCATGCGCACGTCCTTCCCGCGGTACAGGCGCATCTCCCACGGCAGTTGCTTTCCTTTCCACAGCTTAGGATACGAGAGATCTTCACCCCGAATGTGCACCACTTCGTTGTGGTGTTCCTTCTTGCTCAGCGTGGCATCCCGCGTGGACACCTGCTGCATATCAAATGCAAAAGTGTCTGGGTCTGGAAGACTACCAGGTTTGTCTTTGTCATGCATATTTTGAATGACCCATGATGTCTGTGATGTATACCCTAGCATCACAGATTTTTAGAGGACTTTTTGACGCCTCTGCCGCATGAGAAATGCCCTCTCCGCGTAGCACAAACTGGAGCTCTCTTGCTGGTCACGCAATACAAATTTTTTCAGAATCCAGAGACAGCATTACAAGTTTAGAACCCTCCAGACCGAGACATTTTTGCATTTGATAGTGCAAAAACTGGACACATTTCCACGGCCTCACCTTCTCCCTTTTTAAAGCGGGGTCCCGCACGTTGCGGTACTTGTGCAAATCTTCCTTTTCCCGGGCTTCGTACACCGCTCTCAGCGTGTCGCTCATCCGCAAATCGAATACCACATCCGAGAGCGCCAAGGTCGGCGTCTCGTCCAGAGCGGCCTGGATTTTTCTGTCGAGCCCCATTGTGTCTAGATCCTTTAGAACGTGCGTGCTAGCCTTATAAAGATATCCTAAGTAAAAACGTCCCCACCGCCCCCAGAGTTCGTTGTCATGCAAATAACCTGCAAGCCTAAATTGTTTCTCATGCGCAACACCATGTTGAGCAGCGCTTTCTCATGCTTTCTAGTACTTTGTCATGCTCTACTCAGGATAGGGAGCAGGATTTGTGATGCGGCATCACTAGCCAATAAACACAACTACACTAGAGACCCGAGCTTGCCATGCGCAACAGGCAAAGCTTGCTGATTTGATGTGTAGCAAAAGCCCTATCTTGATGACTCTGGGGTGGGGACGTTTTTCCATAGGATAGAAGATAGATCGGATCTATTCTCGTCCGATTCAATCCGTGTTTCTCGTGATCTCGATCATCGGCGCTGTCGCGAAGCCGCTTGTAAAAAAGTAGTGTCGGAGTGGTGCGGACCTTGCGCACGAGTTTCCGTTCTGTTTGCTGCAGCCTGGCGACTCCCCGACCTCCGTCCGTGGCGTTCACTCTCGCATCGTTGATGCCATCATCCTCATCGCAACAAGACGAGGAGGCGCTAGTACCGGTGCGTGGTCCCTCCTGATGTGGTGCTCCAGAAGTTGTACCCTCTGGTTGTACTAGTTTGTAGTCCTTCACCTCGGGTGCCATCGTCAAAGCAGGGTTGTGTAACACCTGAGCTTTTACTTGTACCTGTTGTTCTGCGCTCATTTTCGACCGTCCAAGCTTCGTCTGTTTTATCCATGGTCGTGGACCTGCTTCGCTGGCATACGCTGATGCCTTCCTTTCGATCTTCTTCTGTCGCCGTTGGTGTAGTTGTTCTTGGGGTGCTGTAGCTTTTTGCAGGAATCCACCCCCGGGAGGTTTGTCCTCCATTTGCTCAGGCTCGTGAACATCGGTTGTGAAATCAAACGGAAAGCGAGCAGACGCATCATCATCATCATCATCCGGCGAGACGATTGTCGTCGTGACACCAGCTTCATCTTCATCTTCTGCATGATCTGCTGTGACGAGTTCGTGGCTCACGGTCCCAGGGCTGCTCGGCACAACTGCGACTACATCTGGCGTTGTTTCATGTACAAGTTCTCCGGCGTCATCTACAGAAGTGCTTCTAGTTGTAGCCAGCATGTTTTCATCATCCATGTGGTCGTGCTCAACAACATCAACAACAACATCGTCGCCATCCTCGTTGTGATTTTCCTCGTCTTCAGAGCTAGAATTCTGATTCGTTGTTTCCCCAGCACCGCCGACCGGTATCATGCTCATCAATGTAAAAGAGGTGGACGACCACGCTGGTGCGCGGCGAGGAGCTGCACTAGCAACAGAGGAGCGCCGGCCTCGTGAAGAAGAAGATTCGAATGCTCCATCTTCCTCCCGTCTGAAAGAAGACGAGGAAATAATCTCCCCTCCCGACTCGTAGTCCAGGACTGCTTGTTCCGCGACAGTAGATGGGGCTGCAACGCCTGTACCAACATGATTCCCAGCTCTGGTGTAGTCCCTTCGTTCATCATCTGGTCGCGGTCGTCCCTGCTGCAGCAGCGTGGTTTGTTCTGTGGAAGACCGGGCCCCGACGGCGTGGCTATCCCTATCGTCAACATCTTGATCTACTTCATCTCCGGCAGGAGTAGAAGATGTTGACGCTGCTGTTGCTGATGAACCGTTTTTACCAGCGGTAGTACTTCCACCAGTTGTTCCCTCGCTGGCTGGAGGCACGAGGTGGACTGCGAAGGCGAAATTAGAAATGGGATGAACATGATATAGCAAAACTCCGGCTAGGATGGACGACGACGAGAGCAACTGCAACTGCACTGATGCAAGAAGCAGAGAACCAGGACCACGCAGGAATAGCCTCAGCCAAATGGCGAGCAGCATTTTTATCTTCTTGGTATTAAAGGAATTGTCTCGTCCTAGGATAAACTGTAAATCTAAATTCAGATTTTTGTGTGCAGAGACACGCCGCGGCGACAACTAGGGGTAGGGGGTCGATATCATGTCACTTTCGTGGATATTAAGCGCCGACCGACGACGCAGAGCATTTCTGGAGAAAATTCTACCACTGCTAGGCGAGGAACGAGCAAAAGTCTACTCCTTCATCCAAAATCATATTCTAGCCAATCTGAATGGGCCTCACGCAACAAGCGCAAAGAGTTTTTTATTTACGCATTGCAACATTTGCATCGTCTTCGGATGAAGTCATATCTTCTCAGAAGGGTACAGCTTGGGTAGGCTGAAGACGTACTGTGCGATACCTAACGGAAAGAAGTATGTCACATCGGAATAAAACAGGGCCATCAACATCCTACACGCAGCGAGTGGAACTTCCTGAACGACATGCCATGCCGTTTTTCGTACGCTGCGAAAATAAGGACTGCCGGTGTCGTGAACGAAAGCAACTGCCGTGAACGAAAACAACTGCCATGAACGAAAACAACTGCCGTGAACGAAAACAACTAGCGACGACGATAAGATTGGGAATGACGAGACAGAGATGAACGAACTCGAAATAAGTGTTGAACGAAGTACAAGCGGGAGGCTATCTGTATGAAAAACCATGTTGCGCAGACAGCTAGAACGAGAAACGAAGCAGCAGCGGAGGCTTGAAGCGGGGCTAATCGACCCTCGCCGGAGCCGAACAGTGGCAATCACCTCCTCAGTGCGGCCGTATGAAGAGATGAATGAAGCATCCGCAATAAGTAACCCCACGCCAGCGCTACATACACTTACACACAAACTAATACGATACGGGTGGCCGCCCCAGACAGGGCGGCCATGCTTCCAGGCTGTCCGCAGCGAAGCCGAAATAAAAAGGGCGCGGCCGCGGCGCGAAGGAAAAACACGTCGCATGGCAGTCGCCGAAGGAAGGTAGGACATGGCGGCCCAGGCACCACAGGGACGGAGGTAGGCCATTAGCAATATGGGCCGGGCAGCGACGTGAAAAGCTAGCTGCACGGCACGGCCAGAGTGGGCGGCGGTTTCGCCCACAACCACACAGACATCGGGGCGAAGGAATGAAACACCAACCACCCGGCGCCACTTGCCAAAGCACCGACGCGGGCGCGCGCCGCGCGGGGGCGCCCGTCGGCCCGGCGGCTGAGTAGCCCAACGCGCCCCGCCGAACGCGGGGCGGGCACGCTTTGCCAGCGGGCAGCTGGGCGCGGCCTCTCGCACGGACGCTCGCCCCACCTCCCGGCCGGCCCACCACGCCCCCCCCGCCCCCGCCGCGGAGCGGGCTACTCAATTGATGCGCGCAAGCAAAGCGATGGCGCCCTTTGCCCGCTGCGTGTCTTCCCCGGTCTTGAAATTGCTTTCCTTGGCGCAGGGTCCGCGGCTGCTGCTCCTTTGTCTTAGAGGTACACAAAATACATATTTTTCTTCATAGTTAAAAACTTTATATGCGCGGAAATTATATATATTATCACGATCAGAAATAGACACAAGTGGCCGATATGTTGTACGGATTTATTATTATTGAAACGATTAGAGCGGTATTTGGTGCGGTTTTGACCTTCTCATTGATCAGGTGCCGAGCCTGTTCTTATTTTTTCACGACCGGAAAGAGAAAAAGATGCGCAAATCGACAACAACCAACCCAAACGCGAACAACGCGCGCGCGCTAGCTTTCTTGCGCAATTTTGGATATATCACTATCATGCGCAGCCATGACGCGCCAGCAATATGCCGCCGCGCTGCCTGCACTCACAACGCTAAACAAAGCGCGAAGTAATGGCGTCGCGCTCGAGCGTCGAGCTCGAGCGAGGAGTTCGGGCGTGGGGCTCGGGCGCGGGGCTCCAACTTGGAGCATACTCGTGGCGCTACGACGTGCAAAAATGTGCTCTGTTTTATGCTTAAAAGTATGCTTTTTTTTATGCTGAAAAAGTGGCTCCGTTTTTGAGTACCCAAAAATTTCTTAGACTGCGCCTATTGCTCTGCGTTTAAGTTTATGTGCTCAAAATTATGCTCCTTTTTCTGCTTGTTTTTCTGCTCTTTTTTATGCTGAAAATTATGCTGCATCTCCGCGCTCTCGCGAGAAGAGCAGTCGCTGCGCTTTGACGTGATGCGCAAGCGCGGAGATTGATCTAGCAGCAAATAACTACCAAAAGCGGAAGCGTTTGAAAACCCTAAAATGTTCCCGACTTGAGGCGTTGCCGAAGCCGCCTTTTTTTCAAAGAGAGGCTCTGCAAAAGCCAAACTCTCTTTGCCACCTTTTTGCCACCTCGAACTCACACGCCGCGTCTACATATCAACCTCTGGAATCATTTTCGCTAGCACTACGCCACTGCAAGTTCCAGATGGTAACTTATGCCATCGCTCTCATTTACGTCTACAGTCAACCACATATAAAGCTGGCGCTTATTTTTTTCAGGAATTGCTCACATATAAAATCCAGAGCAGCCATGTTATCACACAGCACTGCATATCTATGATTTTTTTTCCGCGCTTGCGCTAGTGCATATGAAGTTTTTAAGTATGTTCTTGAGTATGTATTTTGTGCACCCTTAATTGTCGTCCCCTGTTCGAGCTCCGACGACAAAGCCCGGCAGAGCTCCGGCTCCTCCTGGAGTTCTACCAGGAGCAGCGTGGAGCCCTGCCGCCCCGTCTTGAGTTGCGTTCGCAGCTTTCTGACGTGTCGGACATACAAGCGGGCCAAGTCTGGGCGCGACATCATCATTAGGCCATGGCATTCCTTGGCAAATTCTACTGCCCCTGCTCATTCGGCGGATGCTTACCGCGGCCCACGCCGCCGCCGATTCTTTTCCACTTCGCTGACGCGGGTGGCCCGGGTTTGGTCGGTTTTGCGTCCCGGCGCTTTCCCTTTTACTCAGCTGCGCGCTGAGTTCGATCAGGGTCGCGCCCTCGCTACGCACGTAAGGCGCTGCCTCGGGCGGTCTCCTTGGGAAAAATGGCGATCGTCACGCGGCCGCCTTGCACAGCTCGCGAATCGGTTCCACCGCCATAGTGCCTGTGGTCTGGGCTGGCCGTTTCGGCTGTTGCTTTGCGCGGTGGCCGGCCGCCGGCGGGTGGCTGGTAGTTGGCGGCGAAGCCGATGGCATTGGTGTGCGCGGCCCCTTGGCGCGCCAGGACTAACCACCTGCCCGCCCATCACCCGCGCCGCAATAACGGGCCGCGGTGAAGCAGCGGCAGCCCGCTCGGCTCGAAGGTGTGTGGTCGCATTGCTCCTTCTAAGAACGGCCCAACACGAAGAATACGTCCCGGACCAAACAAGAACAGCCCCCAATGAAACAGCCTGCTGCACCGCTGCAAGATAGATCATGGCGCAACGAGCCTACTCGATAGGTCACATCAGAACACATCACACAGAAAAAAGAAAATACCCGACCAAGCACGGCCCATCGAGTTTGTTTTGAACTGCGTAGTCAGCAGTTTGAAGAATAAAGGGGCCTCATCACGTTCGTTATTTCATTCGTCAGCAATTTAAACAAGTTCATTTTCCATGCTGCGCAATGAAGCAATTGAAGTTGTCGATTGCAGGCCTCCAATTCGGCCCAAAAAAGTTTCCCCAGAGATGCATTTTATCCTCTTAACCAGTGCGGCAATTTGAATTTCAAGTCGCTGTAATAAAGAGTTGTGCTAAATTTATTGAATTTGGTCTGAAAAACTATAGGTAAGTAATCCTATTTTTCCCGGTGGAGATGGAGTTTTCGAATGTTACTATTTCTCCTGCTCCCCATACACTCTCTTGCGTTGTTTACCATTGTAACTATTAGCGTAAAAAAACTCATCAAAAAAGTTGACTCTTGTTTGTACCAGTGAAATACTTAAAACAGTTTTTTGCTTGTTGTGGATGGTCACGTGGAACCTCTTGAAAGCTTTTTGCCTTCTCCCTGGAAACGAAATCTTGTTGCTGAGTCTCTCTGTCTCTTTCATATCCCGGCTTGAGGCTCGACATGAAAGACAGAGTCCTCCCCAAAAAATCTTTCACGTTAAAAAGTAAGCAGGACCGCCACCAGTTAAACGACCCAAATGAAGAGTAAAATTCAAAGTCGTCGTCGTCGTCTGTAAAGATTTTTTCCGAAAAAAATAAAAGAATAGTACATACTCCCCTCTATCTCTTTTCCCTCTTGTTTACTCTTCTTTCGCAGCCGCTTCCGGAGCCGGATCACCTGCAGCCTCCTCTTTCACCGGTTCCTTGCTCGAAGAAGTTTGTTCCGGCTGTTTATCATTGCCGGCACCATCTTCCTGCTTTTCCTCTTTCATCTGCCCAGCACCAGCCCGCCCTCCTTCCTGCAACAAATCCCCGCCTGCCACACCGCCCTCATTTTTCTTCTTTTTCGCCTTCGGTCCGGTTAGCTTTGGCACCGCCCCCTTCCCGGGAATGTTCAGCCCGCCCGCAGGTTTATTGTTTTCCTTTATCAAATGTAAAAATGTCTGGGTCTGGAAGATTTCTAGATTTGTCATGCATATTTTCCATGAGCCACGACGTTTGTAATGCATGGTCTGGCATCACATATTTCTAGAGGTCTTCCTGATGCCTATCCCGCATGACAAATGCCCTCCCCGCGTAGCACAAACCGGGCTCCTATTGCTGGTCATGCAATTACAGATTTTTTTAAAGTCCAGAGTTAGCATCACAAGTTCCAATCTTCCAGACCCAGACATTTTTGCAGTTGATATCCTTCTTCTTCCTCCCATCTTCCTTCCGTAAAATCTTCATCGGGATGGACACTGGCTTTGCTGCGCCCCCGTCGGGTACAAAAGCAGCTGGCGGTGGTGGTAGTTGTCCACCTCCCGCGGCGGAGGAAGACGAGGAGGAACTACCACTACTGCCCACGACACCTGCTCGTCCGGGGCCTTCAGTGGCTGGGGCTGCTGCTGCACCAGGACCGGAAGACGTTGAAAAAATTGTAGGTGCGCCGCCACCGAGGACGTCCGGGTTTAAAAGCATCACCGGATTTGGATTTGAAATGGCCGCAGAGGAGGAAGAAGAAGAGGAAGCAGCAGGACCACCAGCGCCTAGCGCAGCTGCTGGAGCTGCTGCACCACCACCACCAGCAGTCGTTGAAACAACCGCAACTGGTAATTTCCAGCCGGAGGAGATGATTCGCTTTTTCTCTTTCTCGATTTCATGCAGTCGATTTTTCGTGATCCGGGTCTGTCGGGGCTGCCCTTTCAGCGAGTTTTCCTCGTCTTCCAACTTTTTGTAATCTTCGTACGTGTACTCTTTCATCTGCATACCAGGAGGTAGTACTACAGGTACTTCTTCCTTCGACAGTTTCTTCTTCTCCTTCTTTACCTTCTGCTTCTTAGCCGGGGGGTGATCCTCTTCGTCGTCGTCGTTTTGTACCGGCGCCTTGCTGGATTTTGAAGATTTCGCTCGGTGATTTTCCTCGTTCTCGCCACTGTTTTCTTTTTCCTTACTCCCCTGCCTCGTCTTGGCCAGTAACTCGTCCTTCGACGGCCGGCCGCGCTTTTTCTTAACAGCTTCTTGTTGCTCGCCTCCCGCTGCGGGCGAGGGTTGGATGGAAGAGGTCTTCTCCTCTGCATTTTTACTCGTTTCGACATTGTGATCCTGCTTCGGCTTCCGGCCTGGCTTCTTCTTCGGCACACCGTTCTTCGTCAGCTCTATGTTGTCCTGCTGGGAAGAAGTAGGAGCTTTACTTGATGCCTCTTTACTTGGCTTCTTACTCCCTTCTAGACTCGCTTCGACCGAGGCAGATACTTGCTTGGAATCTTCTTTTATCAACTGCAAATATGTCTGGGTCTGGAAACTTCTGATGCTGTGTGGCGTATCATGAGGAAGCCACAATTGCTGGCTCAGCATGACAAGTTTCTGAGCTTCTAGGTGTTGCCTATTCTGCATGACAAACTGCGTTTCTGTATGACAGAAAAGTGGCGCTCTTGGGTAACGTGCGTGACAGATTTGAGAGTCATGCCAGACAAGCACGACAAACATGCACTCTTCCACATCCAGACCCAGACATTTTTACATTTGATATCTCTCATCTGCTTGTTCTTCGGTGCTGGCCCGCGTTTCATGGCGGGTTTGCCGTTTTTGTTCAATTTCACCGTCCCGTCTTCGTTCCTCAGAACGCCGTCGTCGTAGTTTATCGCATTTGACGTCGCCGGAGCAGGAGGATCTACTTCCATTTTCACATCCTGATCAGCAGCAGCAGGAGGAGGAACAGCAACAGGCGGCTTTGAAGATGGACCAGCATTTATTTCCTCGTTCGTCTCATCATTTTCCTCGTCCTCCGCCGGCAGTAATCTTTCCTTCTTCATTTTTCTCTTTTTCGGCGGCTTGTCCACAGCACCACCCGCAGCTGGGTCTTCCGCGGCTTGAAGATCTCCTGAAACGGCTCGATCATCCAGTTGGGATGCGGGGCCAGCACCAGCTAGGTCCGGGTCCTGGTCGTTTGCAGCACCTTCCGCACCTTCTTCCTTAATTTTCCTTTTCATCTTCGGCGCCTTCGGCTTCTTGTCCTCACCGGGAGCGTCGTTGTTGTCGTCATGATCTCCTGCATTATTTAATGTTCCACCTCCTTCTTTGTTCTTCTTCAATTTCTTGGCCATCTTCGATTTATTATCCCCAGCCGCACCGCCGATTTTGAACCCCATTGCCTTTTCTTGCTGTTTCCGCGCTTCCGCCAATTCCGCGTCGTAAAAAGCGTCTTCGGCGTCCAATTGCACCATGATCTCGTCTATGCATTGCAAGTATGTCTGGGTCTGGAAACTTGTGATGCAAGCCAGGGAATAGATACTGGGCACACTGTCATACGTGGCCAAGCATGACAAGTTTTTGGGCTCCTGCTACGTGTAGCGTATTCCGTATGGCAGACTGCGCTTTTGCATCACAGACAAAGCGATCTTTTTGCACCTACGCATGACAGAGTTCCGAGCTATGTCAGACAAGCATGACAAATCTGGCAATCTTCCAGACCCAGATATATTTTGTGCAATGCATATCGTCCAAATCCGCGAGCCACAGATCCGCGACGGATTTCTTCTCGAGGATTTCCCTTTCCGCTACTTTTCCCTTGTACGTCTGCTCGAGTTCCTTCACCTTATCGGTGGTCAGGGAGGACAGCGGCATGCCGAGCAAGTAGTCGTACTCTTTCCTCGCATTGTTTGCCGCGTTGTTACTGGCCCGATTATTTTCATCGTCCTCATTCGCCTCGTCGTCGGAACCAGGGTCGTTATTGTCGCCGTCGTTGTCGTTATCTTCGTTTTCTTCATCCTTTTCCGCGTTTTCCTCCTCCTCCCGCTCGGATCTCGCCGCCATAGAGTTCAAAACCGACTTTGTCACGAAGTTCATGGCTCGCAAGTCTTGTAAAATGTCCGCAATTTTCCGCTTCCGGACAATCAGCTCCCGTTTCACCACGGCTAACACGAACCTGCGCTGGTTTTCCAGTTCGCATTCGGACTGTTTTAATTTGTCGAGCAAGTATTTCTTCCGTTTTTGATAAAATTCCACCCGGAATCCGCAGAATTCCTTCACGATGTCGAGGGGGCTGTCGTACTTGTAGATCTTGTGCTCCTTGTTGAAACCCATCATGTTGCTGGTAGCGAGTGAGGAGGACAGACCGAAGTACTTCATGTAACCCGCAGCCTCGGCCTGCACTTGCCCCGGCTCGGTCAAGTCGATGGAGAAGTGGACGGTGACATCGGTGTGGTGCCTGTGATTTAGGACGAGGCTTTTATTTGTCTTTTCATTGCGAAACAACTACTTACTTACTCCGTGGTGCAGCTCGATGCGGCACAGCGAAGTCGGGAGCAGAGACCCTAAATCCTAAAACCCTGAAACCAAGGATGCTCGGCTGCGGCACTCGCGATGGTTTTTCGAATCAACTTCATCGCGATAGAGATAGTTTTTCTCCAATATAATTATGCGTGACAGGAAACTACATCACCAAAAATTCAGACATTTTTCGATACTCTCTAAAATCCCGGATTCCATGCTTGTCGTCGCTGATCATTTTCAGCAACTTCTCCTTGTAAGCCTGCGTCCACATATGGATTGTAAAAGTATCGCACTGGTAGTAAATTAAATGTAATCGCAGTCACGCATTACAAACCCCCTTCCCAAGGTGAATCTGCATGACAAATTCCACTGACTTGTCGTCATGCTGGGCTAATTTGTAAATGCAATTACCACGTAGTAAAGTTGTACGATTCTTTTGCAATGCATACCACACTCTGATCGGAAGTTCCGTGATCTCCACCGTGCTCGATCCATCTTCGTGGACTGTGACCGACACGCACCCTTCCGTAGTGAAATTCTTCGCGCCCGACTTCCCCCGCACTTCCCCGCGAAAATTCCGGAACCACGGCTTCATCTCGATGTAATTCGGAAGATTCGCATTCTGTTGCTCGGCATCTATCCTGTTTAAAACCCTCCCCACCCCAGAGTTGTCATGCAGATTCGCAATAACAGAAACAATTGCCATGCGCAACCCCATAAGAGGCACTTTCGGTCGTGTTTTGGCATTTGTAATGCTGTAAACAAGATCAAGAGATGGATTTGTGATGCAGCTTTCCTTGCTAACCCGCTCTACAATACAGGGGAAAGTTTGTCATGCGTGAGTCGCAAAACTGGTGGATTTGTGTTGCAAAGTTCCCAACTTGACTATGGGGTGGAGACGTTTTTACTTAGGATAGCATCCTTATCATCATCATCGTCATCCACCATTATCACGTCCCCGTTCTCGTTTTCCACGACACTCTGCTGCTTCGATTTCGATCGTTTGTGCTTCGTGTTCAATAAGTGTCGCTTGATGAAGATGCGGCAGTTCTCCACCACGTCTCTGGGGTCGTAATTCGGGATGGAGGTCGACCAACCGGTCCCGATACCCTCCGCGCCGTTGACTAGCACCATCGGGATGACCGGGCAGAAAAGTTTGGGTTCAATCCACTTCCTATCAAATGCAAAAGTTTCTGGGCCTGGAAGAGTGGAACCTGTATTGCGTGACTTGGATTCCTGTAAAATCTGTATTGCATGACCAGGAAAAGGAGCCTTCCTTTGTCATGCAGAAGCGCAGTTTCTCATGCACACTACGCATGAGAAAGTTTCCGCAAAATTTGTCATGCTTGGTCGCACTCAGGAGTATGTTCAATCATGATCGCCACCCAGTATCACAAGTTTCCAGACCCAGACGTATGTGCATTTGATACTTTCCCTCCTCCTGGTTGTACTCGAGAATTTTGTCGTCATCGGGGTGAAAATATCAAATGCAAAAATGTCTGGGTCTGGAAGATTTTGAGATTTGTCATGCTTTTCTGGCATGACCAGAAAGTTTGTGATGCGTGTCCAAGAAGAGACCCTTTTGCCTGTCATGCAAAAACGCAGTTTGTCATGCGAAAAACGCAACACAAAGAAGCGCAGATATTTCTCATGCTTGCCTGTGCATTACAGAGCATTCACCATTCCCAACGCAGCATTACAAGTTTCCAGACCCAGACATTTTTACATTTCATAGAAAAATCGCGCGGGTCAGGGGGTTGTTCAGCCGGGTGTAGATGTACCTGAAGATTGAATATTACGAGCAGAGAGTGCTTTACTTGTTTCTCTGGATGTTGTAATAGTTCTAGTTTCATCTCATGCGAAAATTCTATACTCAGATCTAGATTTGTCAACGTGCCTCTTGTCGCTTCTTCAGTACCTACGCATAGTACTTACTACTGTTTCGAAATTCCAATACAGATTTCCCGTACCTGCTCGCAGCGTGATCCTTTCCACCTTCAATTCGCGTTCCGAATTGCCCGCTGGGGACGAGTAATTTCACGTTATTCGAGCCGACGAAGTCCTGCGCCATGCCGACGATCGCGCCTTCTAAGGAGACTTCACCATGATGGTAAGCTGCCTTCTCGGAAACATACCCCGCGAGTTGCGCGACCTGATCGATTTGTTCGTCGTCCTCGCCTTGCAGCATGACAAGCAACGTACCTCTTTGAGATTGTGCATGACAAAACACGACAAAATGAAGCATGCCGCCAAAGGAGTTGGAGTTGCTGTACGGGTAAAAATACTGTACCTTGATGTCGCTCTTCAGTTTCTTCTTGAAGGCACAGTAGAGAATTTTCCTCTGCGTGGGCTTAAACCCGTCCATCACGTTCGGAATGGACCGCATCACGTCGTATTCGGCCATGAAGACGAGCTCCTTCTTGATAAATTCCGTGATCGTGAGTTCCGATTCGTTGTGATCGATGTACTCATCCGCATTCAAATTCCGGATCCATTCTTTCCGGTCGTCCGCGCGTTTTTGGTCGAACGCCATCGAGAGATTGTCGTCATCATGATCGTTCTCGTACTTGAAAGCCAGGGAGTGACGATCCAACTTTTCGAAGTACTGCTTTGCTTCTTTTCCGGTGGAGGTTCCGAGACCTGGGGGATAATAAATATAGAAGATTTTGTGGCTTAGCCTTTTTGTAGTTTTTCTCTACTAGTAAGTACTCGTCAACATGCAGTTCTGCTTCTGTCCATAACAGGCACAACCACAAGAAGCGACACTCTGAGCGCATGAAAAAGTCAGTCAAAAGAAACGTCTGTACCTTTGTAGTATTTGGCCTTCCACCTTTTCCGTTCCTCCGCCGGCGTGTTCTCCTTCCAAGCTTCGTACTCCGCTACGGTGAAAAACACGATCGTTTCCTTCTTTTTCGTGACTTTCACGATCGGCGTCACGAATTCCCGAACGAACTGCGGCTCGTGACGAATTAAACTTGGCCAGTAGTACTGCAGTAAATTCAATAGCAGCCCCTTGATGTGCGAGCCATCGTAATCCTGATCCGTCATGATGGTGACCGAGCCGTACCGCATCTTTTTCTTCAGCACCTCGACTTGGGACTCCATGAGCTCCTCTTCCTTTATCCTGTCCTCCAAGGCCAAGTTCTTCCCGGATAACGCGGTGGACGGGATCTCCAGCCCGAGAATTTTACACAAATTCACGATTTCCTTGTTGTTCGTCACCTGCGCCGGGTTCGCGTTCCGGACGTTTAAGACTTTTCCGCGGAGGGGGAACACACCGTAGTAGTCCCGGCCGACCACGCCGAGACCCGCCATTGCGGTGGCTTTCGCGGAATCTCCCTCTGTTAGGATCGACTATGGCGCTCTCAACTGTTACATTCTCACCTGTTACATGGATTTGTGATGCAAGAATGGCAAAAGTGAAATGGGTGACCTTGCGCGTCTTGCATGACAGACTTGGCGCAGATTCTTAGCCTGTTTCGCTCCTTTTCGAGCATTTGTCATGCGATGCAGCTTGATCGCGTCGATTCTGGTTGTAAGTTTGCATGAAGAGAAATCGTGTACTAACAGTTAAGAAGGTAACCGATTTGAGAACGCCATATCAACGTGCAGTCCATTGCAGCGGCGGTTCCCGCATGGTTCGCGTCCTCGAGCTATCAAATGTAAAAATGTCTGGGTCTGGAAACTTGTGATGCTGGGTGGCGTCTCATGATGAGGCCACAAGTGCTGGCTCAGCATGGCAAGTTTCTGAGCTTCTAGGTGTTCTTGCCTATTCTGCATGACAAACTGCGTTTCTGGATCACAGAAAAATGGAGCTCTTGGGTAACGTGCATGACAGATTTAAGAGTCATGCCAGACAAGCATGACAAACATGCAGTCTTCCAGACCAAGACATTTTTACATTTCATACGAGCTTCGGGATGATCAGCTTCGTTAAAGACTTGCTGGAGATCTTGGCCCTGATAGAAATTTAAGTAATGGTTTTTCATCTTTATGTATGGTTCTTTCGTGTGCAGAATTCGATTGGATTACGGTCACAGTTGGCGATTTGTGGAAATGCATTTCATTTGCATGAACAACACTCTACTAGGTAAGTCCAACTGGTATCGAAGTTGTACCTTTTCGCCAATTCCGCCTGTTGCTTCGCATTCGCCCACTTCACAATCGTGTCTACAATCCCGCAGTTCAAAACCGCTTGGACCGTTTCTTCCGACAAGACACATTTCGACCCGAAGTCCTTCGGCAAGCTCGTCATGTCTTCTTTCGTTTGCGAGTTAAAGGTAGGATTTTCCACATACGCGTTGATGAACAGAAACAAGTGGTTTTTGATGTGCGGCCTCGTGATCTTAAACTTCCCGTCGTAACTATCCCTAGCTTTCTCCCAAATCCGTTCCACCAACGGCGCTTCCACGTGCGACACGTGGGTTCCGCCCTTCGTGGTCGCGATGCAATTCGCAAAGGAAACGTGCTGAAACTGCGTTTTTTCACTCATCCCGATGTACACCTCCCATCTTTTCGAGGGGCGAACCTTGGTTGGATCGTGATCGCACTCCTCTGGGTCGACAATGGTGGCCTTGATCAGGTTCTTGTGCTGCTCGGAGAGAGAATCTTCTCTAGAGTTATTTTGAGAATCATCTTCGTCGGAGATGATTTTGTTGTTTGCGTTATTCATTCCACCGCTTTCATCTATTTTTTCCACCTCTTCCTTCTTCACATTGCTGAGTTGTGTTTTGGTGCTGGTGGAAAATTTATGACAGTGCACAACTCCCACTCCCCCTCATTTGTCAATGTTGTCATGCAAAATCCCAAATCCAGTCGCTGCCTTGTGGCACTGTTTGCATGACAAATGCGAAACAAGCTCAAGCCCAAACAGTACTACATGATCAGGTGCACAAATTTGGCATGCATAGGCTCTACGTGTGCTGGTGTTTGTACTGCTGTTCATCCCATACAAATGCTGAGGGAGAGAGAGAGTTGTGCATTGTCATAAAATTGCGCGTCGAACATCCCGACGTAGTCCTTGAAAGTTCTAATCGGCAACTCCTTGTCGTTCAAAAAAACCGCGACGTGCGGTGGGGTGCAGGCGGCCAAGTCGTAGACTCTTCTCGTCATCAGGGCGAGGATGTCGGCGTCCATTTCGAGCTGTTTGTTGTCCTCTAGAAGAAGTTGTTCCTTCTTCAACTCCAACGGGTTACTCGCATTTGCACTTTTCGCTTTAGACTGGAACTTACTCATATCGGGCCGGAACGTCACCCGGGTGAATTGCTTCAGCCCGGAATTTTTTGACGCCGCCTCCGGGACTTCGGGCAACAGGATTGGTTCCTGTTTATCAAACATGTTCCGGGTCCACTCTTGGGAGAAGTATTTCACCGGTTTTCCGAGCCGATCCTGTCCCTTCTTATCCACCGTTTCCACTCGGAACATGGTCGAGTATTCTGTGTAAAAACGTCCCCACCCCGGAGTCAAGATCATGGGGATCTCGCAACACAAATCCAGAAGCTTTGGGAGTCACGCATGACAAGTTCCTCTCTGCATTGTAGTGCAGTCTGGAAAGTGCAGCCGCATCACAGGGCCATCTGCTTATCCTGTTTACAGCATCAGAAATTCCGAAACACGACTGGAAATGCCTCTCATGGGGATGCGCATTACAAATGTTCCTACAATTGCAAATCCGCATGAAAACTCTGGGGTGGTGATGTTTTTGCAGAGGATATCGAGTACACGTTCGCTAGCTTCGCCCCGTATCCGTTCCGTCCCCCCGCGCACCGCTTCTTGTTGTCGTTGAAGTTGTCACCGGCGAGCAAGTATCCTGTGCAAAAGTATCGCACTCGTATTGTATTACAAGGTAAATCGTCCGCATTACAAATTTAATTTCTCATGCTGCGGAAATTTGTAATGCATTTTATACGAGTACGATACTTTTGCACTGCATAGCAAGGAACCGAAAATCATCGTTGGGATCATGATTTTTTGTTCGTGCTTCCCGTCGGCAGTTTTTTCGGTTTCCTTCTGGTGCGGAGCTATCCTCACCCCCTGATATTGCGAAGAAAAATCCTCCCTCACCATAAATATTGAAACGTTACGTTTGTGATGCTGATTTGTGACCACAAATCCTGTCTCTCTTGCAAGAAGGCAACCCCAGAGAATCCGCCGCCTTATGGAGGCGCTTTGTAATGCTGTTTCACCTACATGGCAGGCCTCTGTTATGCTAAGCGCCTACAGCAAAACACCCCCACGCAGGCTGCGGCTTTGCCTGGTGTAGTGCCTCACTGCAAGACAGGGCTGATTTGTGTACCCAAATCCAGCAACAGAAGTTTCCGCTTCAATATGGGGAGGGGGGATTTTTCACTTTGATACCTGACCGTCGTTCTCGACGGAGATCTCTTGGGAAGAGATCTTTACCCGGATAGTGCTCATACTATCATCCCGCTGCAAGTTATCCGCGGCGTTGACCAGAATCTCGTCGAAGATCTTGAACATATCAAATGCAAATATGTCTGGGTCTGGAAGCGTGGAAGCTTGTCATGCAGATTTTCCATGACCCATGAGGTCTGAAATGCAGGACCTGGCGCGACAGATTCTGTGAGATCTCTATCATGCCTGTCCTGCATGAGAAACTCCCTCGCAACTTGGTCAAAAGTGGACAACTGTTGGCAGTCATGCAACACAGATTTTCACAGGGTGTAGACTTAGCATCACAAGTTACTCCTGTCTTCCAGACCCAGGCATATTTGCATTTGATAAAACAGACCCGGGGCGTACTTCAGCGTTCGCTTCTCCATCTTGGTCGCGTCGGTTTCCGAAACGACCCAGAAGTCCCCATCTTCCGGCTCGCAACTCCCGACGTAACTGTTATCAAATGCAAATATGTCTGGATCTGGAAACTTGTGACGCAACTCCGTGAACAATAAGTGCTCTGTAATGCGGCGCCGCCAAGCATGACAAGTTTTTTCGTGATTCTGTGAAGCGCATTCCGCATGAGGAACTGCGCTTTTGCATGACAGGCAAGAGCAGGACCTCTTGGTGGCCACGCAATACAGAGTGCAGAGACATGCCAGACTGGCATGACAAGTCTCGCAATCTTCCAGACATCCAGGAATATTTGCATTTGATAACTGTCGCCCCGGAGTAAAATGTGCTCGTGCAGAGACAGCTTCTGGTACTTCTGCCAGTCATATCAAATGCAAATATGTCTGGGTCTGGAAGATTGATTGCCAGGTTTGTCATGCATATTTGGCACGACCCACGATTGTCTGTGATGCATGCCCTACCATCTCAGATTTTTAGAACCCTTTCTGATGCCTTTTCCGCATGGGAAACGCCCTCTCTGTGTAAGTAGCACAAAGTGGACTGCTGTTGCTGGTCATGCAATACAAATTTTTTCAGAATCCAAAGACAGCATCACAAGTTCCATTCTTCCAGACCCAGACATGTTTGCAGTTGATAAGTCATCCTTCGGCGCGCCCTCTTTCGGCTTCACCTTCTGGAGACCTCTCGGGGCTTTGGAAGCCGCGCCGGGTTGTGGTTGTTGCGCTGGGTTGTTGTTGTTTTTGTCGCTATTGTTGTAGGGGAGAACAAGGTCGTTGTCGCTGTCTAGGTAGATTTCCGGGGAGAGGACTGTCATCTTGTCTGCCGCAAAATAAATGCGGGTACAAGTACTAGAGATGGGTACAGCAGAACTATCTTAGTATGCGTCGGCGAGGACCAACGCGAGGGTAGAACTGTATCAAAAAAAACAGATCAGTACAGATGGCGAATAAATATTTGTTTGACAATTTGTACGCCTCTTCATCCGGGCGGAGCAAAGCCCTCGTTGCTTTGAGCGAGGTGACAACGCCATCAGAATGAGGTATACAAGCGAAATAAATGCGTGCGTACAACTAAAAAAAACTAATTTCTACTGTGAATCTTTCTAACTAGAGTAAAAACGCAGAGGACTAAAAACTCGACACGTAGTGCCTGAACAAGAAAATTCAAATTGGGTGTCGGACAAATCAAGAATGGGCTTCGTATATATAACTATAAGGCTTGTTCATCTTCATACAGTTCTTTTTGCATGACAACATGGGCCGCTCCATACAGGCAAGCAATTGATCATCAAGTGTGACAATACCTGCAACAGTCGCCATAGCTGGCCAAGTTGTAGTGTCTCCTCTTACGCGTTGCTGAGAGAAAAAGACGAAAACAACGAACGTGGTTGGATCTTCGTGGATTTTCGCAGGCTGTCGACACTTCTACGACCACCTGAGTAGTCTCACCTGCAAAGTCTTCTAAGCACCCAGGCTAGCGGGCAGATGCAGCAGTGTGGCAGGGAAGACGAAGATACCGCAGGAGCTTCTTCGATTCTCAGTAGCTAGTGGGTGCAGCCACTGCCTGGCCATCCTGCATTTTTCAGAAGTATGATTTCCATCGTTTATTTCGTTTCTGCCACGATAATTCATATCACGGCTAAGTTAATAAATTGAGATCAGCTGTGGCGTCGCTACATATGATGATGATCCATCGGGTTCTTGACAACTGTCCTGTACTACCTTTAGCAAAATCACAAGCAGGTGGCAAGAGATTGAGTGACAAATAAGTGGAAGATCGATGGGCCCGTCCATCGGGTTCATCTTCATCGTGTGTAACTAATGCGATTTTGCAAAATATCCATCTCGAAGATCCCAAGTAGAGAAAGCAAGACTCTCAGTCAGTTTTTCTGGGTCTGGCGTTTGCGTTGTGCTTCAATAGTGCGACTACTTCTCAAAGATTTTCTGCTTTCTCGCTCAGCAACATCAACAAGCTCTGTGGTCCGAGGGTGGAACACACGATGTTGACACAGAGACAGAAGTAGCACACGAAGTAGATACATCTCGGCAAAAAAAATGAGGTTGCTGCATGTCTGCGTTCTGTTGTTTTGTCTAAATGTGACTGTGACCAAGCTATTTATTTCAAAGTTCAAGTTCTTGATAAGGAGATTCATCTTGATGTGGCACTTCATGCGCTAGAATTAGTACCAAAATCTGCGGAACAAGAACTGCCTGCGAAGCCGCCAGAATGTGAATGACCGACTGCGTCAGCAAAGAAGTGTTTCTGTTTGGTACGAAAAGGAAAATAAGTAAGTACTTCAGTGCGAAAAATAGCAGCACGAAAGCAAAACTCCATAGTAGCTACGTGGTACTTTCAAGTGCAAAGCGACAACTAGAAAGGCCAGATTGCTTATGCTGCGCGTAAAGGATTTTGCTGCTTTATTCTTGGAAATAAAACTGCAATAGCTAAATCGGTTGTTGAGATAATTGCGCCACGCTGTCAACCACTATATGTGTTCCTGTTCCTCAGCAAATTTGCAGGACCTCCCCTACGCCCCCTTCAGCGCCGAGTTTACCACCCCGCCCTGCCGCTGCTCGTACCGCTCAAATGCACTCGCGTAAATCGTTTCGCTACTATCGCTATGCATTGAAAAAGTATCTTCGACTTGCTCGTACTTCTAATTGCAGTCATGCAAAACAAAATTTCTTCCCGAGTTGAATCACCATGACAAGCTTCATTCGCCATGCTAAGCTAATTTGTATTGCAAGTACAACGAACTACTACTAGTGCGACGATACTTCTTCAGTTCATAATCGCGGCGAGTGAACAAATGGTCCTCGGCAAATTGCTGCTGTTTCTTGGCTATCAAATGCAAAAATGTCTGGGTCTGGGAGATTCTGAGACTTGTCATGCACGTTTTGCACGAGCCATGATGTCTGTGATGCATGTCGTAGCATCCCAGATTTTTCGAGGGGTTCTTGATGCCTATTTCGCATGAGAAATGCTCTATCCGCGTAGCAAAAATTACATTCCCTTTGCTACTCATGCAATACAGATCTTTTTAGAGTCCAAAGTTAGCATCACAAGTTCCAACTTTCCAGACCCAGACACTTTTGCATTTGATATTCGCTTGAGCCGCTGGCTTGTTGTTCCCGGGTTGTTCCACTGCTTGTGTCGTGCCTTTCCTACTAGTCGTTGATGTTGACAACTCCTCTTTGTTCTGTTGGCCGGGCATTTGTTCGTCCACCTTTTTCGACGCCACAACTTTAATATTGTGTACAGGAGAGTCCTTTTTCGCCTTGGTACCATCGAACTTTATTGCCAAAATCCCGCCGGTATTGCTGTCGTGATGAGTTTGCTATGGTTGCAGTATCGTGACATGATCTGCGGTCGGTTGATGGTCGGATGTGGCTTGTCCTTGTTCTTCTTGACACTTGAATTTATAAATATATTGTGAGGACACAAAACTACGGAAACATACAGAGCTTCAAAATCAAGATCGAGATCAACACGAAAACGAATAAAAGAAAATCTGATCAAGGTGAAATCGTACCATCCCTCCACTTCAATCCTGTGTTCCCAATGCCAGGGGATGATACTTTTCAACTTCCCCTTATCCCCCGGGACAAGGGTGCGGACTATGGGGCTCTCAAACGTTACATTCTCAACTGTTACATGATTTGTCATGCAAAAACGCAATCACTTCTCACAATTTCAAACCTTCTCCGCATGACAAGTTCTCGACGCGCTAGATAGCACTTTAATCTGCTCCAAACCTGTAATGCAAAAGGCGCATCAACCTTCGTCCCCCTTTCACTCTTCTCATCTTGCCATTCTTGCATTACAAATTCATGTATTCTCGTAGTGTCGCCGTGCTTGTTGAAATTATGTACAAAAATTTACAGCGATCGGCTCTACAAGGTTCTGGAGGACAAGCAATACTTTTGCGAGACCCAGTTTGGGTTTCGGGCAAATCGCGGCACGCTCGAAAGCATTATGATTTGGAACCGAATGAAGGAAGACCTGTCTCATTATTCGCGACACAAATCAAGCAGACTGCTGGCGACGTTGGTGGACCTGAAAAAAGCGTTCCCAAGTCTGGACTGGAGATTAGTGACGGCGGTAATGGACACCTTGGGAATAGGAGAAGCAACGTGCTGGAGTGTGATAAACAGTAGCCATAGGCATGCCAAGCACGAGTTCTACGACCCAGAAACCAAGAAGCCGGGAAACCGATTCACGCTGGAAAATGGAACGAAGGAAGGATGTGTGAGCAGCCCCCTCGTCTTCTTGATTAGTTGCACGGCAGTAATGAAATATCACAGACTACTACGCAGGCAGGAGGGCTCAGAATCCCTGAAAGGGGTGCGGTTGTACTCTCGTGCCGACTTGGGACACATGAAGAGAACCGATCAGCTGCATGAGATAACCGGGGGCGAGAAGCCAGAAGAAGGCGAGCCGGAGCTGAGTATCGACCACGTGATGGACCTGTTGTTTGCTGATGACACGACGCTGCTGGAACACATGACCGAGGAGGAGTTGCAGCAGTTCTTGAAAATCAATGCGGAGCTAATCGGGAAAAAGCTTGCTCCATCTGAGTCGAAGGCCATGAAGCTACTGACAAAGGCACTGCGGGAGTCAGGGTGTCGGGAAAACGACGCGAAGCGTTTTAGCGGCAACATCTGTGACATGTCGGTAAGAAATCTTGGAAGCTACACGGACCCCCGAGAAGACATTCGACAAAAAAAGCGAAAGGCTTGGACTGCCTACAACAAGTTACGGGCGAAGATGAGCGGCGTTTCGAATCTTTTTGCAGAGCGGCGTGGCGAGCTAATCATCATTATGATCCGAAGCATATTCTTGTACGGCCTGGCGGCAAGGTACGTGAGTCCAGACGAAGTTCGAGCCCTCGAGCGGGAGGAGATTGCGATGATGCAGAGGATTCAAGACATTCCTTGGTGGGAGCGTGTGCTGCAGAAGAAAAGCGCGGCCGATCTTCGGCGCAAGTTGAAAGTCCCGCCGTTCGGAGTGCACTTGAAGTATCTACAGATGCGATTTGTGGGACACGTATTACGACGGAAGCCGACCGATTTAGCCAGACGCGCACTCGTGGGCAAGTTTGTGCCGATTTTATACCGGGGCGCTAGTGCGGGCAACGCGCTGGAAGACGGTCTTCGGGCCAGAGCAGAAGTTCTGCGATCAGTCAAGGAGCTCAAAGAAGTCGACGCAAAAGAGCGGCGGGTAGAGTCCTTCCTCCAGGACGCCCTAGAACATTTGACAAAAAAATGCAAAATGCCGCTGGAAATGGTGCAGCTTCTCACCGAGGACCTGGAGGCAACACAAGCGCGGCAGCCTGAAGAGTTACCGAGTGGCTCCGCGCTCTATGCGGCCAACAAGCGACTTTTCCATGCAATGACGCGGCAGTGTTTTATCCGGGAAACAGCTGAAGACTGGAGCAATGGGGACGCGGACCTACGACAGAAGATAACGGATGATCTGGCCATCAAGTATTTCGGCAACCCAGGGCAGACGCCAACGCGTGCAGAAGCAATCAAGGCCGCGCAGGAACAAGACCCGGACGTACGTGAGGGCGATGTAGTGCACGCGCTCCCGACAGGACAGCCGTCGGCCCTTGAGCATTTTGACGCCCAGCGCCAGTGCATGTGGTGCGCGCAGAACTATCCGCAGGCGGCTTCGTGGGGAACAACGGACGGCGGGCCATCGGTGGAAATGATAGCTCACATGCAGCAAGAGCATCCGGTGAAAAAGTCGACCAACACGGATGTCAAGGCGTTAGTTATGAAAAAGGCAGAGCAAATAAGTAATGAGCAAGACCAGGAGATACGGTGTGAGATCATCGAGAGAAACAGCGACATCCTACGCGACAAAATGGCTAGGGGGCCGGCGGCGCATATCAAAAAAATTTTCTGTAAATCGTGCGAACTTATGTACGCCTCCACTGCGGGGGCCATGGAAAAGCACGCGCAGGTCCACAGGCAGAATGGATACATCAGGACAGGCAGGAAAAAAGACGCACAGGGCAGAGCAACAGGAGACTACCGACCGGAGCAACACCTATGGAACCACTGGACGGGTCGGTATTACTTTGGATCTGATGCGAAGGGTTGGCGTAACGTTCTACCTCGCGATGCACTTTTCACGAACCGAGCGGGCTGCGAGTTTTTACGATGCAGGAAATGCAAAACGTACAAGATTCTGTTCAATCACGACAATCGGGTGGAGCGTCCCCATGACCATAGTGAGTCCTTGCGAATTAGCAAGATGGCTGCGCATGAGGGAGCATGCAAACCGAAGGAGAAGAGAGCAAATCACCAGCCCAAACCCAAACGCGCAATGAAAAAAGTGGTGAAAAGCTAGTGAGGTGAGAGATGGCGCCCCCTTCTCTCCCCTTGCTGGGAATCACTACTACTACTACTATACAGTTGAGAATGTCACATTTGAGAACACCGTACGGACCGTGGTTAGATTGTGCTGGTCGTGCTGGAGCGGGTCCTGATATGACAGCGCACAACTCCCCCCCGTCATTTGTCATGCAAAACCCCAAATCCAGTCGCTGCCCTGTGGCACTGTTTGCATGACAAATTCATCCGGAAGCCCAAACAGTACTATATCAGGCACATAAATTTGTCATGCATGGGCTCCGCGTTTGCTGCTGTTTGTATTGCTGCTCATGCCATACAAATGAGGGGGAGTTGTGCACTCTCATACCTGACAGCCGGCACACAAAACCCATTCCGGCATGGCCATCAGTTCGGTATGAATTGCAAATCTGTTGTCTGGGTGTTGAAGGATGCATGTTTGTCATGTTTGTTGACCAACATAAAGAACGATCTTTAGCATGACAACTTTCCAGACCCATAGACATGTTTGCACTGGATATTCGGTCTCTACCACCCATTATGCAAGAAAAAAACTGTGTTAGTGTAACTATGTTTGGCTAACAGCATCACAAATTTGCTCTACATGACAGAGAAAACCTGTCATGCGTGGCTTGTAAGGGAAATTACACAGGAAAAGAGAACTTCGTGGCTGTCTGGCATGACAGGCATAACTCTGTTGCGTGTTCTGCATTGCAGATTTATACTTACTTACACAGTTTTTTTCTTGCGATACCCATTTCACATTCCAGCCCTCGTCGTAGATATCCCATGAGAAAACTGTTTGCTCAACACTGTGACGATTTTGATGCAGGATCTGCATCACAAGTTGTTTGTTACTTTACCATGACAGCGAAATATTAACGAACCTGCCATGCGTGCTTTCCATGGGATGAAGACACGGCTGTACTACTTAAAGATCCCACCGGTTATCTTGGCAGCTTTCTAAAAACAGGACATCAAAGACTTGTGTGTGTGTGCGTGTGCGGTAGTTTCTGCATCACAAGGTCTGTCACTACAATGAACAGGCAGTTCATTTTTCTTGCGATAGTAAAACAGTGCCAACGCTGTAATGCATCCGCGGGTTGAGCCCAAGTAGTCCTGTGTGTCATTTGCGTTCTTCACTTGGGTTGTACTATTTTGATCACATCCTTCCTGTTCTTGTTCCACACACAACAAGAAATGAATTGAAATTGAATCAAATAGTACAAATCCGAATCGTATTTGCGAGAAAAAAAGCCGTATTATAGTCATATAATTACGCTGTACCTCCCTATCTTTGCAGAGCCGGAGTTCCTTCGCACCCAGCGCCACCGCGCAGTATGAAATGCAAATTATAGGTATGTCTGTGTCTGGAAAGTCATCAAGGTTCTTGCACACTTGTGATGATGCAATTGCATGCTGGTGCAAGTCACACAAATAAAATTTGTGTTGCATACCACGTACCAAAAAAAGCGCGCCGCTTTTGATCACACAGAGAGGCTGTTTCTCATGCACGAAAGGCAACTTCTAGCCACATTGCGAAGGCCTTACAGGAACTACTTACGTTTACCCTGCATCAGAGATTTGTTCGCGATCCATCGCGAGCAGGCAAAGCCAAACCCAAAGGCATGGAAAATCAGCATAACAAACGGTTCCAGCACTGATCCGGACCTACATCTTCACATACTTATTTGCATTTGATACGAAGCTCTTCAGATCGATTTTTGATTTCTGGCGAACGGTAATCAGGTACATTTCCTTCGTTTTTTTGCACTTGACAAACATGTTGTGCGTCGTGTGCTATCCTATGTAAAAACGTCCCCGACCAATATCCAAACGAAACTGCTGACGCTGGATCTCAGTACACAAATCAGACTTGTCTTGCAGTGGGGGACTGCAGCTATATGCTAAGCCTGAGTCGAGAGGATTTGCCGTAGGCGCCTAGCATGAAAACCGTCTACGCTGTAAGCGCAACAGCATCACAAACTGCCAGCATCATGGGACGGACTCTCTGCGTTTGTCTTCTTGCAAGACGGACAGGATTTGTGGTCACAAATCTGCATCACAAATTTTCAGGCGTTGCGTTTTCAATTATATGGGGAGGGGGGATTTTTCCTCGCAATATGTGACCGATCGGCTTTCCATCCTCGTCCGGCAGGCCATTGTATGATAGTGCCCAACTCCCCCTCCCCCCCATTCGTGTAGCATGCACGGCAAAAATAGAAGCATCAGGATCAGCAAGACTGCGGGTTTTGCATGACAAATTTGCACTGGAGTGTAGTAGTTCTGTTTGGGCTACCAGAATTTGTCATGCACAATAGTGACAGGAGGGAAAGCGTGGAATTGGTATTTTGCATGAGAAATGAGAACGAGGGGGAGTTGTGCACTGGGATACATTGGGGTCGAGCTTTACAATGTTCCCGTTTTCATACAGCGCGTCCCACAGCCGGTTGTCGTTCCAACCGTGCGGACCAACTACCCAATCCTATGCAATACAAATCTCCCACGCACGTACACGTGCCTACTACAACATGCATAGACAAATCTCGCTTTCGTGGACGCGTGCGCTACCCGTCATGCTAAGCAGGATTGAAAGCAAGTTTTGTCATGCAGAAACCACATTTTTTTCTTGTCGTGTGCGGGGAAACAAGTACTGTGGATAAATCCTTCATTCTGTTCTTTTCCAGGTTTTATTTGAGCTGTGTTTTTGTAAAACTTTCCCAGCTCACAGAGTTATTTTCGATTCGCATTCGATTCGAACGACAAGTTTTTACTGTATTTAGCACCGGAAGGGACCACATCAAGGATGACCGTCTATTTTTGAAGATACAGAAGAGGAAGACAACTACAACAAGAGTTTCCATTAGTATACGATTTCGGATCCCGAAATCCGAAACAAAACACACTGCTCAACTAGATCCCGTTTTCTTGAAAATGGATCGCCATCGTGCGGCAGGGACTGAGACACGACCTCCCGCATTTACAATAACAACCATGGTTTTACCTGCTACTTGCGAGTATGTAGGCATCCATTGATCTTGCTTCTAACAGTAAATAGTTCGCTAGAAGTTGTACTGTGATCATGCACCTAGGAACTGTGAGATCTTTACCTGCGAGATAGCTATCAGTCGCTCGTGAAGATCCTTCTGACTGGTTGCTGAAATTATATTAGCCGACGTGTTTTTTGAACACAAAAGTTGTCCTACGGCACTGCATGCGAATCGTGTAAGACGTACTTATCGCAAAGTTTACGCACGGCAACTTGATGTGGTCGGAAAATTTGTTTCAGCTCAACTTGACGAGGAAGTACATTTTGATTCACTAGTTTCTTTTTCAGCGGCTATTTTTGCGTACCACTGCAAAACAACTACTGCGCATCTACAACTTTTTCCCGTTCTCGTGCCACGTCGCACCACCGCCTGAATGTCTATAAAAAAGTGCTCTGAGGTAAAAAAAAAAGCGAAACGGTTTGTCAACGTAACTGCAAGGCTCGAGCCGCACCAAAATCTATTCATACTCAGCCGATGAAGATCCTTGCATTTTTTACTCATTTCGGCCCTGCTCTGTATTGTGACAGATCTACTTGAAGACCTGAATACAACCGGACCGCTTCAACATGTGGCGGATGTCAAACCAACTCATGGTCGTGGTCATGCGCTAGTACAAGCAGGGACAGACTGCCCTGACCCCGAGCTGCACCCACTGCTACTTTCTCTCGTTTTGACAGAAAGCTAGATGGTTCCAAAATAAGTGCAGCTGCGCGACGCAGTAGAACTGCTGTTGTGAAAGAGTAGTACGTAAAAGGTTCCGCTATTTCTTGTTTCGCCGTAACGTTGGTTTAGTAGTGGGTTTTTAAGTAGACTCTACTTGGAGCTACTAGTGTGAAGATGAAAGATTGATTTCGATAATGCGGTTTGATTGCATTCATTTTCTTGGTCTTGCAAAAGGATTAGGAAACAGCTTCTGCATTAAACTGCTTCGACGTAGTTCTTGAAAGTACTATCTTAGGATTGGGAAACAGCTCCTGCATAACTGCTTGTAGCTCTTGAGAGTATCTTCCGCGGCTGTTCTTGCAATGGACTGACACTTCTCCTCCTGGCGAGGTGTAAGTACAGTCTGCGCGATTTGTGCCATGTTGCGTACTGATGAATACTGACAAGTATCTACTGATAGCAGGAGCAAGCAGTCCTTTGCTCTGACATCTTTTTCTTTAGTAAAAGTCACGTATGTAAGTCGTTGTAAGTAGCACCATGCGTGAAATGAATGTCCTGCGCAGCTTTGCCTCTGACAGTGCTTATTAGCTATTACCCATATTATGCATAGTTTTCTTTCAAGTCAAGTGCTGCAAGGCCAAATCGACGTAGTAAACGCGCCAAAATTGGAAATTCTAGTAGAAATTCGGCAGTGCTATGCGATGGGAAGCAAAAGTCAGGAGAAACAAAGTGAAGAGCTGGTAGAAGAATAGTAAAAACAAAAACAAGCGCCCGACAGTAGAGAGGTGCTGTGCACGCGAACCTTTTCATGGTCCTTTGTTTACCTCGGCGTCGTCGGCCAGTGACAGTTGTAGTTTTTCCTGTACTTACTGCTCTACCTACTCCGCACCAAAGCAAAGTAGCAGATAGCGATAGTGTTTACACCATCATGCTTCTGGCTGTAAGCCGGAAAAAATCTCCGTACTCGTAGCGCCGGTTCTATTTCTCTTTCTGTTGAATACTATAGTATACTGGCTTTGCTCCCTTGTCTTTGCGCTGGACGTGGAAAATGAAGATCGTAGAAAAAATAACTTGGAAAGAACTACTACAAGAACCAAAGTGCTATATAGTAAAAAGTACAGTCTCAAAGACGCCAAGCCGCATCGGAATGCAGCTTGCCTTTATCGTTTGGAAAAAAACGGAAAATCGGCCTCGAAAATGGTATACTTGGGAAACAAAAATCGTCGTTCATGCTAGAGATGATTAATCAACAAGAAGCACGTCGACTTTTGCTTGTTTCCCAAAGTAGTAGTACCGTCGAAGACAAAAAAAACGGTCGGAGGCTTTGTTCTTTGTATTCGAAATTAGTGTCGTGAATGGAAAAGCATAGGAGCAAGCAGTGCCTGTAGTACCATACTCATATACCGTTTTCAAATTTCTAGTGCTAATTGGGATGCACAATCTTACACTTGTTTGGTACTTCTGGTATCTAGCTTTTGTGGTCTCACTGGTAGCTTGTAGAAAATTACCGTCTTTTCGTGTTTGTTTTTACCTTTTGGAAAATACTATAAAGTATTTGCCTAAAGGAGAGCGAACTTCCGTTCCTCGTCGGGCCTGCTTCTGCACAAAGTGTGATAAAAATGATGATTTGGCATGTCGCTGTCTCTACTTACATCGACGTGCCGAAAGGAACTTCCTCATTGTTACTTCGTCGCCTTGATGTTCAATCATCCGACCCACTTTGACTTTCATCACTCCCACTAGAACAGGATCCAGCTGCTGGATCCGTGGAAGAGTAACTTGAACCTGAAGATTATGCAAGAAAAAAACTGTGTAAGTGTAAATTTGTGTTGCAGAGGATGCAAAACGCCTACACTTGTCATGCTGGACATGCGCCAGAGGCTCTTTTCGTACGTGTTTTCACGTACTAGCTACGCATGACAGGTTTTCTGTGTCATGCAGATGAGCAAACTTGTGATGCTATTCCTTCAACAAAGTTACACTTACACACTTTTTTCCTGGATAAAGATCCGCTTGACGAGGAGGAGGAAGATCTTCCGGTCTTCTGTCTCGGTTGGGTGGTTTCCAGAATATCAAATGCAAAAATGTCTGGGTCTGGAAGATTGCCAGGTTTGTCATGCACATTTTGCATGACTCCTGATGTCTGTGATGCATGCCCTAGCATCACAGATTTTGTGAGGGCTTCCTGATGCCTATACCGCATGACAAGTGCTCTTTCCGTGTAGCATCCTTGGACTCTCTTTACTGCTCACGCAATACAGATTTTTTTAGAATCCAAAATCAGCATGACAAGTTGGATTCTTCCAGACATCCAGGGATTTTTGCATTTGATATAGAACAGACGTGAACAACGGGGTGAAAACCACATTTTTGCATTTGATATAGAATCTGCACTGCCTCATCATCTGGGAAGACTGGGCCGCTGTATCTTCTCCGTCCGAGGCATAAAAATTGTGCTTCTGAAAGAACACCTCCGCCCGCAGCCAGCTCTTTCTTGTTTGCTGCACCAAGATTTTTTGTTGTGGCGATACAATAGCGCTGCATCGCGGCGGCGTTCCAGCACCGGAAGAAGCCGACGTCCCCGAACAACCGGACGCGTCTTCACTGGACGAGTCCTCATCTCCGTCTCGATTTATTTTATCGTCCACGACAGATGAAATGCTAATCAAATACTCGACTCTGTCGTCTTTTATTCTGCGCCGCGTGTTCGTTCTTGTACTTGTTCCCTTTCCGGAGGCGGCAGAAGAGGCGCTTCTGAGACTAGAACGACCCCCGCGCGTAGTTGTACTTCTTTGACGGGAAGCTGTCGTCCCTCGCTCTCGGTCCTCCTGCGCACCAGCAGAGCGCCGGCTTCGTGAGGACTTTCTTCTCGGCTGAACAAGACGTGATGTTCTCTTCCTGACACCATCTGTGTCACTGTCATCGTCAGAAGTACTATATGTGGATCCCGACGATTCCGATTGCTCGGATGAATATTGGAATTGGAATGGTTGCGCCGTACCTTGACATTGTCGTTCACCTCCGCCTTCTTCGACCTTGTCCTCACTGCTTGTGATGTCCTCCTCCTCGCCCGGACTTGTTCCAGTGCTCAAAAACTCCGGCACCCGGAGAAACTTTTTCACCGGAATCCGAAAGACTTGCACGTCCAGGAATTTTCTGGAGCTCGTCTGTGCTGGTTGTTCGTCACTTTCGATCTTGTTGAGCAGATCTTGGAAAATAAAAGGCGGTGGAACAGCGGCAGAGTCCTGTTGTGGTTGATAAATGTCTTCGTGAACCACGTAAGCCGAGTACAGTTCGCCGGCCTTTTCGTTCTTCTTTCCGTCTCCGATCATCATCCCCGGTCGGAGCCAAGCAGGGAGTGGTTGTGCTTGCTGTTCATCATCTTTTAGAAGTACTTTTTCGTAGTTTTCATCAGCACGACCTCCCGTAGAAGTGGATAAAGCCTTTTTTGGCATCTGCAGCTTCGAGTTGAGAGCGAACGCCAATTGCCGCTCCAGTCCTTCCTCCACATCTACCCTTTGCAGGTCGTGTGCGTACTTGACAGCGACAGTGATTCTCGGCGTGAGTAATTCCTTCAGATGACTCCCCTCCGGGCGAAACACTTCCGGCATCACGTATGAAGAGTCCTCTACAACCGTAGTAGTACCTGCGATGATTTTGTCTTCCCGCTGTGTCACGGTCGGGGAAAACCGGGCACGGCGGCGGCCGTGGCTACAACTCGGCGTTCGGCTTTTGGCTGCTTGCAAATCCTTCTGTTCATTTCTTTTCGGGAACGACAATCGACCGTGCTGAGACCTCGTCCCCACCGGGGCGGCGAAAACATCATCCGGGTACGGTTCCTCTCCATCGAAAGCGGAAAAGTTTGTTCCGATACCTCCGTGCAACTGTGCGCTGACCACTCCGTGTGGATGCTCTCGCTTTGAGTCAACATGCTGGGTCCCCCGCGCCGAAGGAGCCGCAAAAAGCAAATCCTGCCGCAGTTGCGCAGGAGGCAGCGGCACACGAGTGGAAGTAGCCGGCGCGTAAGTAGGGAGCGGCGCGTTAATAACACTGCCATCTTCTTCGGAAGAAAAGCATCTCGACGATCGTGCGGAAGAGGACACTCCTGACGCGGCTCCCGTTTCAAGATCCGTCTGCGCCCGTTCTTTGCCACCCGCTCCACTCGACGACGCGGTCGACTGCTGACTGAGCTGCGACGGGCGGGGCGGGAAAGGAGCAGGAACAGCAGCTGCAGCCGTCACAACGGTCGTTGCCGGGAGCTCCTGCGAAAGGAGTTTTTTAGTATTTCTCTTTGTTCTTTCCCTCTCCGATAATTCCAATTTTCTTTCCTCATGCTGAATCACTTCCCACAGCTTTTCCACAACCAAAGTGGATTTCCCGTTTTGGAACAAGTTTTCATACAGATTCGGATGCGTGTCGGTGGATAATGAACTCTGCGCCGGGCTTGTATCGAACAGCACATGAGTGTCCGTTTGTTGATGTGGTCCTCGAACCTGGTCGTCGTCGTCTGCAGTTGCCGTTCCTGCCTCTTCCCTGTGGTCAAAGGTTTCGAAGTAGAGTATGGAGCTATTATCTTCATCTTCCTTGGTGGGAATCAAACCCTTGCTGAACAACCTCCGATCATTCATCAGGCCCTGGAGGCGCGGCTGTCCCAACAAACCTTCCGCCGGCCTGGTTGCGGGCGAGGGCGCGTGAAAATGTACTGGTGTAGCATTCACATGAGCGGACGGAAAAGGTGGTCCTTCGCCAACCTGTTGTCCCGCACTATTTCCGTCCTCGATCTTTGTTCGCGACGCCATCTCCTCGACCTTGCTCACCAAGTTCTTGTAAAACTCTACAGCTTGCTGTACTGTGAAATCCGCGCCGGCAGAGGTGGTCGGGGAACAAGAACCAGATGTCGACAGCTCCGGTGTTGCTGCTTCACCTTCAGCTTGTTTGCCACTAGGACCGTCTCCAGTGCCCGCCGCACAAGATGACATGGACATCGCGGCTTGTCCTTGTGGTTTCCCACGAGTGGTTGGCTGAATCACTTGGAAGGAGGTTTCACTAGAAGCTTGCTTTTTAGCACCACCCGGGGTCGACCTCTTTCGAAGTTTACCTATCGGAACTACAAGCCTCTTTGCGACCGCGTGGGCACCACGACGGGTCAGAGAACCTACCACTCGTGTAGGTCCAAAGCAGAACGAAGTCGCGGCAGCAGCGTCTCTATCGTCCCAGATAATCTCATCGCAAGAGGCACCACCACCATCATCTCGCGGCCCTCGCTGCTGCTGACCATGTCGCCGTACTACCCGAATTTGTTTCATTTTAGTGTTCCTCTTCATAGCACGGATCCTCCAGGCCCGGCTCTGAGCATCTGCTTATCAAATGCAAAAGTGTCTGGGTCTGGAAGGATGCGAACTTGTGATGCATGTTGCAGATCATACACAAATCTGTATTGCGTGACTCGGAAAAGCTGCCCACTTCTGGTCACGCTGAGAGGGCATTTCTCATGCAGGACAGGCATCACCAAGGGGCTGCAGAACCTGTGATGCTAGGTTCTGCATTCCAGACTTGGCGGAGCTTGGAGAAACTGCATGACAAAGCTAGCAATCTTCCAGACCCAGACATTTTTGCATTTGATACTGCTCGGCTTTCGACAATTCTCGCAGCGTCCATCCCGGCCTGTCTGTCCACGGGGAGACTCAGCTCGATGGATGTAGTTTTTGCAAGAATACTAGCACAAGAATCTCCCACTGGTTCACGGTGGGCAGCTCCACCTCGAGTTTGTTCGGGTGGACGAGTGATGGGCTTCTTCACTACTCTAGCTCCTCCTGCCATCATGAGCTGGACCGCCGGACTCTTATTAATCTCGACCACCGCTTCTTCAGCTTCGGGGTCTTCTCGAAATATATCGCCCTGCCCTAATGCGGCTGTGAAAATAGCTTGATCGTCATCGTCTCCCGGCTTCATCGCTGCATCACCTCCAGCACCGCAGAAAAAGGTGGTGCGGCAGGATGTAGTCAATTCCATTTGTAAGCCCCATGATTCCTTCTGCAATCCGGCAAGCTGAAGCTGGACCAGCAGGGAAAGGAGTGTGGGAATTATAAAACCGCTCATGATTCTCGCACTACCGTTTGGTCACGACTTGTTGCGAGGCAAAGCAATCGCAAAGTATCGAAAAACGCCGCCCTTCCGCGGAGAGCAGAGATTGGTATACTTTGAACTACCCCTGATGTGCTCGCTACTTTGCTGCGCCGTGTGTGATGACAGATTTCTTCTTGCTCTTGCAGGAGCTAAGACGTTGGCGTTCTTGTTCGAATTCGAAACCCGCTATTTGGTCCGATATCGTTTTTACTGTACTTAGAAGTGAAGTTGTTGTAGGTATAATTCCTCTTTTGAAGAAGTAGAAGATAAGGCAACGCTACAATTTTTATACCGAAAGCACTTCAAGCGCTCCGGGTTGTTAGTTTGTGCAGTCGAGACTGCGGTCGTCGATATGCTTAGTACGGACTAGATATGAAGAGAATACTCAGATCATGAAGAAAATACTCAGTAGCAGCACCCTGGTATAAACTGGTTGTTTTGCAGGGAGATCTTGATACTACGAGTATGAATAAGTTGTTACTACAATGAAGATACTGGTACGTCATAGAAGATACTGAATACGAAGAGTCGAGTCACTTTTTGTTGTTCCAATATGATCTATTCATAGACCAAAAGCCATGGAGCAGGTTGTCACTGTAAAAAAAATTTTTGAAAAGGAAAAGACCGCAAATGCATTGAAAAAAAAATACAGCAAGAAAGACAACAAGCCGCTCGATCGTGCAGAAAAAATGATCGTGCGGAACAGGCAGGAACAAACAGGATCTCGGTCTGGTCGTCAGATCTGGGTGATTTTCAACACTTTAGGTCCTCTTTGTAGATCAGGAAAAAACATTTTCGTAAATGCGACAGGAACCAAAACCCTTCGAGAAGGATCAAGGGAAACTTTTTAGGCGATCTGTTTATCTGTTTTCAGTGAAAGTAGTACTGTGAAGAAGTAGATCAAGAGTGACTTTCAGATTCTTGATAGGATCTTCGACATTAGCATTTTCTCATCCAACTCTCCAAATTTCTAGAAGAGTGGTACTCGCATTGCATGGACATCGAACCATCGCTCGCATATCTTACAACTTGTACAGTTGCCAAGAGGAGGGTTCATTTCTGAAGCTCGGCCCATAGTGCGCGATGAACACTTTATTTCGGTAGCCACAGAAACCAAATCCCGAGGCCGCAGCACCCGTACAAGGGGTTGTACTCCTGCGTAGAAGTTTCACACACGGCAGGCACCAACGGTGCTGGGTGTGGTTGCCGGTTGTGGTGACATGATTTTTGTCGGGATCTTTCAGTTCTTGGTAAGAGCAGGCTGCTGCAGCAGCAGCTTCACCCCCAAGTTCTTTTACAACATCATACATGGAAAAAAATCATGAATTCAAGATGACTGTCTTCTGATTTTTGCCCTTTTTTTGGAGTGTCGCTGTAGTAGTCTTCTTAGTCTATTGCTGATGCTGGAGCAATGGCACTACTGAAAAGACCCTGATGTAAACCACGTGGACGGTCTTTCTGTTCTGTGCCAACTTGCACTCGGAGTTGGACCAGGACCTCCTCGTCCTCGTCCTCCTCTACTTTGTAAAAAAATCTAACCAGAACCGCGATCATCCTGTTCCTATTCAATAGGAAGCGACTTATGATCGGGAGATATTTTCTTTTTTTTTACTTGTAGTAATTACAGCATACGTACAGGACTTTTCCTTCTCTCTCATCATGCGCCGAAGAAATTCATCCTCAAGAATTTGCTGTGGCTCCTGTTATAGCGTATTCCTCCTTGTTGTTTTCACGGTCTTCAGTGCGGGCTTTGTTCGTACGGACAAGACACATCTACTTCATCTAGTTCTATGATGTTGATTTCTATCTCTATGTATACTACTGGCAAAATAAAATCGCCGATGAATGTCATGTGGCACTCAATGTTCAAATCTTCTAACAGCCCCCGTCCTGGCTCTATTTGTACACTAATATGCTGTGTTACTTACTGCTGCGTCTTTCACCACTCTATGGGAATTTGTTCTTTTGCGGAAAAAAAAATCTTCAATGCTTCTGACAAATTAAATTCACACCGCCTTGTTCCACATCCTGTGCAGTCGGAAACAAGAACGATGCTGCTGCAATCTTGCACATGCGCAAATGCCTCGGCAGTGGCCCTGGGCCGCCGCGGCGACTTTTTTATTTTTTTTACTATACTCTTCTAGCATGATTCTACAGGAGCAGTCTTCTGCTTCTCGGCTATGCTACTGGTTGCTGACGCAGTACTGCATCAGCGCGTGCGCCTCTTGCCATGCACTCTGTGCCAACAGCTCAGGCAGCGCCAAGTCGCTTCCAAATCCGGTGCGGCTGTCTTGCTCTGCTGGTGCACAGAAAAGGATGTCGTTATGATGTTGACAAACTACTATTATACACATTGTCGCTGATACATATTACTAGTGCATATCCATAGGATTTTCGAAATAACTTTTTCTTCGGTGACACTTGCCACATTGAGGAACTGTCTATCCAAGCGGAAATATCCTGATAATTTGTCAGATCCGAGTAAAGCAGATCCTAGTTCGGATCGAGAAAAATAGCTTCACGCTACTTAGTGTTCTTTCAGTGCTTTTTTTTTAGTTTTATAGAGTAGTTCTATTTTTTCTGCTACGTGCAATGGCGATGGCGTGCCAAAGTTCTACAAGTTCTTGCGCTGTATCTATCTTCATCCTCGTGCTTTTCTATTTTTACAACAAGTGAAGTTCTAGTATAGTTAAAACGTCATAACAGGATACTGCTTCAGATTAAACAGAAACACGGTGAAAGGTGAATATCTTCATCCAGAGCTCAACATTATTTCTGACAACTCAATCCAATTCTACAGAAAACAACAAACCACTCTGTACTTCTTTTTCTCGGGGAGACTTCTTGCCATACTAATTTTTGAAACGTTTCATCTCTTTGTGTCGATTTCCTTTTTCCCATAATTACTTCTGCGCGTACTAGTTTCGGATTTCTAAAGAGGTTAACTTGGTTTTGTTTCGGTTCCGGTTGTTGAAGAAGACAAAGCCATACGGTGACTTCTTCTTCTATCGATTTACGATAGAGCAGGCCAATAGAAAGTCGTGCAGAGTTAGTCTGCTCTACTGTGGGCGAACAGGACTGGGTCCTTGCTCGCGGTTTTGCTGCTATTCCTGCAAACTGTAAAATTATACAGCCATTCGAATATTTTCGGAGTTGTGCGACATCTGAAAGAGCGGGGTAGTGCTTTATCATCATGGATCTTCTTTTTGGTTTTAGCAATCTGTGTACGAGCGGAATTTCGATAAACTAATTAGAAAAGATCAGCAGCACCGGCCTGGGGCGGTCGGGACAGTAAGTAAGATCTTTCGAAATAGCCTGTTGCGGGCACAAACGTCACATCCCGTCTAGTATGTCTCCCCGCTTCCACAACATGACCTCCTCGGCAAAGAACTTGATGCAGTCTTCGAATTCACATTATGCGTCCTAGACAGAAGTTCCCCCGAAGATTGTGGTCATTGAACTATCGGCGTTTCCGTTTTCAAACTCGTGAAATACGGGGTCATCTTCACGATTCGTCTTCCATTCGGGCGTCGTTTCATCATGTCGCTCTTGATGTCAGTAATGTCTTCCTGCCCCACCTCCCTGGTCACCCGAATCCAATGCTTGCGGGTGCGTTTCACGGAGGGGATTTTGTTGCCGTCGTGCCGGGTCGTGCGTTTATCAGTAGCAGCTCCAAGAGCAAGATCATGTTGTCGACCTTCACCTTCAACTTCATCCAGCTCCGGCACATGCAAGCTGACCAGGAACTCCGTTTTATTTTCCTCCTCCTCGAGGGGGTCAACATCGGAATTTCCCTCGCGGCCCCGCTCGTCGTCCTTCTCGTTCTCCAACCCGCTTTGCATGAAAACCGGAATGCGATAAACCTTGTACTCCACAAGCTCCGCGAACAGGCTTTCCCCGAACTTTTTCCACGGGAGCTTCACCGAAAACTCGAGCTCTCCGCTGGCAAAGGGCGCCAGCTCGTCGTGGACGTGCTGGATTTCCGAGGCGAATCGCGCGACTTTTGGAGTTCGAGGCCCAGGTGTACTGCAACTTTCCGACGAGGACGTGTGAAGAGGACTTTTTTCTTCCCACCCGCCGAAGAATTGTTCGTCCGGCGACCCGAATCTGCAAGATTTGTTTTCCAGACTTCTATTTTCCGCTGGGCTCCTACCATCTTCATCGCTTTCCTTTATATCCAAAAAAAAGCTGTCCAGCGAGTTGGCCTTTTTCAGCGCCGAGCGAAGTGGTCGCTGCGCTGTAGTCGCATTTTTGCACTTGCTGCCTTTATTCAGGATACTACTACAACTTCCAGCACGACGAACACTCCCTCTCCGCATATCCTTCTGCACCGCTGTGCGACGAGGCGATGCCAAGGACCCCTGAAATGATCCTCGTGTGGCCTTCAAAAGTTCCGTAAAGTTATCGGATGTTAGCGAAGTTGTAGACGGAGTTGTAAGGGGATCAGTAGACGTTGTAGACGGAGCAGGGGGAAGATCTTCACTATTATTGCCGCCTAGCGTGATCCTCGAACAGTACGCTTGATTCGTCTGCAGCATATCCGGGAGAATCGTCATTCTCATCTTTGAAGTGATCTTTTTCCAAATCTCTTCAAGCGGGTTTACGGGAATGTCGTGATCTCTCTGCTCGGCAGTAGGCTCCTTCTCAAAGGAGCTCTCGTCCACTTTCGTCTCTTGTTTTGTTAGCGCCACAAGAACAGGTTCTTGATGTGAGGCTGAGGCCTCCTCCAGCGCACGCAAGACACTGGTGTCAAACTCCTCGACAACCACCTCGATTTTCTTCTTCGCAGCGGTCTTCTTCTTCATCTTCCCGACAGGAGACCTGGTGGTCCTCGCGCGACAACAAGGAGATTTCTTTTCGAAAGAAAGAAGCCCCGTGCTGTCGTGGTCCAGCAGACTTTCCATTTCCTCCTCTTGTTCTCTCTGCGCTTCCAATATCAGCTCCTCGATAGACTTGCGGGAGCAGCAGGATTTTCGCAGTTTGGGCGTCAGTATCCTGTGTAAAAACGTCCCCACCCCAGAGTTGCCCTTGCCATGCAATTCTGCATGCCAAAAAAGTTTCTCCTGGGGAGCCCCATGAGAAGCATTTTCTATTCGTGTTTTGGGATTTGTGATGCTAGGATCAACGTGCTATGCTAGGTCTGTGATGCTCCTTCTGAGCTACCTAAACAGGACCACACTACGATGGCAAACTTGTCATGCCAAACAACCAAAGCTGTGTGATTTGTCTAGCAGGTTTCCCATCTTGACTCTGGTGTGTGGGCCCCGTTTTTACTCAGCATAGTTAGCTCCTTGTAGTCAACGGACAATTTGTCCCTGGCCTTCTCAATCTGCGTGGCCAAATCGAAGTACCAGAGGAGGGGACCACAGCACGGAGCGGCAGTTGTTCCAAGCGACAGAAGATTTCCGGCAACAGAAGATTTCTGGTCTTTCTCTTCCTTGTCAACAGCTGTCCCAGGACGAGGAGTCGTCCTCCTCCCCTCAATCTTGTCCGCCGGGTTGACAATCGGGGCGGATAAAGTGACGTGCCACTCGTTGTTGATATTGCGCTGCAATGTTGATGCGGTTTCTTCATCTGGGTTGTTGTTATCAATACCAACACGCGCAAGACCCCCTTCGTCTTGGCAGCAGAGCGAAGTCTTTTCCTGGTCTTCATGCGAACTGCACGGCGAGGCCGAGGTCGAATTACTCGCATGAATCGCCTCTTCGACGAAGTCAACCGTCTTGACAGGACTCTTGATATTGCCCTCTTCAAGACCTTGGCCTACTTCTTCCAAAGGATCTTGATTCGCGAAGAAAGCCGGTCGGGCAACACCCTCGTGATGGACAGAGTCTTGCTCTGTGGCATCTTCGTGCTCGTGCTCCCTGAGAACTACATCATCCACCTTGTGTCTTGGCGCTGCTGCGCAACACCCGACCTTCTCGTCCCCGAGTTCCGAAAAACCGTGCGAGATGAACTCGACATCGTGCAGCTCCCGTAGTTCTTGTGGTCCCTCCTGGAGGTCCTCCGATAAAGAAGTAGGAGACCACGATCCTGCCACACTCGAGCGGTCATCGTCGCTTCCACAGTGCGTGGAGCAGATGGAGATACGGTCATCATCGCGGGCGTCGTTTTTATCATTTGCATTCGGCTCCACCAGCACAGGCTCAGACGTGGCTGAAATTTTTCCCGTCATGGCTGCTGGATCGACGACGACGGCTTGGCTGCCACCCCGGTAACCGGCAGTGCAGGCACCGTGCAACAACTTCAGGCATTTCCCAAAGATCGCCATTTTCTCGCAATTTATTCTTGGAGACAGTGCAGATGTAAAGTTTGAAAATCAAAGAGCTTCTAGATTACAAAGCACATTAGACGACATTCAAACTACCTGAAGGACACGATTTCGAATACGTATACAATGTTGGGTGCTATCTACGACCGTGCTCATATCAAAGGTCGTGCGAGGACGTTGTCTAAAACGAACAATAGATATCATGAAAATGCAAGTTAGAGCGAATTTTTTTTTCAGATAAATACACGTTGTACAACAGATAGATCTGGAGAAAAGTGAAAGTGAAACACAACACTACGAGCTACTACATATGATGTTCAGAACAAGCAAAGCCACTACGTACAAACACAGGTAGATAAAAACTTCTAAAGGCACTATTTACACGGTTACGGGTTCTATCTATTTAAGATATCCTCCCAATCCTAATGTTATTTGCGCCTCTGTTTTTAAGGAGTTAGTTCGTTTTGACAAATGGGTCGAGAAGAATACGAATCGGGGACACCAGGATCACAATTTCTTGTCGGAAATTCAGGGTTTGTAATGAAATCTGGGCGATTTTGTGATTGTGACCACTACGACCGTTTGGCCAATTATTTCTTGGCGATCGAAGAAGTTTCGGAAGCAAACTCTTGTGTTGCATCCGTGAACCACATTTACAGAAAAACTCGTGAACTGTGATTGCTAATAATTTTTCGAACATTTTTGTGCCGAGACTCCGCGGAAAGACGAGCGGTAAGAACCCAGGTGTAAAAAGTGATCTTCGCAGATTAGATTTTAGGATCTCCTTTCAGCCGAGCACGAGTATCTCGCGATTTTGCACGTCTATTTGATGTCGGACCTGTACTTCCAAGCATTCAAAAGTCCGCAAGAATTCTTCCGTAATCTGATCATTATTTCTGTAGACAACAAAAAGGCCGAAGACCGACGGTGCGGGTAATGGGGGGAGGAAAGAACAATCATTGAACGAATTACGACGACGACACTCGCGCCTCTTCAGCAGCACCTTGTCGAGAAGACGTGCTATTTATCATTCGCTTTCTACACTACTTCGAAGATAACGTCCACAAGCCATCATCTATCGACCTGCGGCTTGTTCCTCTTTATCTTTTATAAATGCGTAATATTTCCCAAAAACTAGATCCTCATCCTTGAAGATTACAAGTACGACTGTGCCTGCCCCGCTAGTCCGATCTTGTCTGGCGCGGAAACGACGTATTCCTTTTGGTTCAGGATGTTAAAATATCAAATGCAAAAATGTCTGGGTCTGGAAGGTTGCCAGGTTTGTCATGCATATTCTACATGACTCAGGATGTCTGTAATGCATGATCTGACATCACATATTTTTAGAGGCCTTCCTGATGCCTATCCCGCATGACAAATGGCCTCCCCGCGTAGCACAAACTGGGCTCCTATTGCTGGTCATGCAATACAGATTTTTTTAGAATCCAAAGTTAGCATCACAAGTTCCAACCTTCCAGACCCAGGCATTTTTACATTTGATATAAAATGCCAAGCACTGTTCCTCGTCAGCCAGGATTTGTCGTTTTTGAGCCACTATGCATTGCAAATATGTCTGGGTCTGGAAGAAGTCATGCTGTTTTTGCATGACACAGAAGGGCTCGCATGGAAGCCCTAGCAGCACAGGTTTCGAACGGGTATCCCAATGCCTAATCCGCATGACAAATCACTTCTTTCTGTGACAAGAAGTGGAGCCTTTTGCGAGCCAACCATGACATATGTTGACATGATGTAGAATTCGCATCACAAATTCGAATTCTTCCAGACCCAGACATATTTGCGTTTGATAGCCACACCCGGAAGCTTTCACACGTCTTCGACTCCCCATCAAAGGCAGATATTTTCGACTTTTCCCTCGTATCAAATGCAAATATGTCTGGGTCTGGAAACTTGTAATGCTGAACGGCCATGATTGAGCGCGCCTTTAAGTGCAGTGCAGCATGACAAATGACAAAGCATGCTCTGTCATGCGCAGGACGCATTACAAACTGCGTTTTTGCATGACGAAAGTCTGGTGCTTTATTTGCTGCTCATGCAATACAAATTTTTCAGCAGTGCTAAACACGCAATACAGGTTCAACCTTTCCAGACCCAGACATATTTGCATTTGATACCTCGGATGCAAGAGCATTTTTGAATGCGGCTCGTTATCCGTTGTTGTCGATCCGGGGGCAGAAGTACCGACCGCGCGGTTGTAGCTGTAGACCCAGTATCAACTGCAAAAGTGTCTGGGTCTGGAAGAATGCGAGATCTGTCATGCAGTTTTTGCATGAACCAGATCGTCTGGCATGTAAGCTCTAGCATCACAGATCTTGAGCGGGTATCCCAATGCCTAATCCGCATGACAAATCCCCTCTCTCGGAAAGGCCTTTTGCTAGCCACGCATGACAGAATTTCTCAGGATGTAGACTTCGCATCACAAATTCGAATCCTCCCAGACCCAGACATTTTTGCAATCCATACCCAGATCGGCTCGCTGCTCCCGTTCAGAAACGAAGCAGTGCACTATTGCGAGGAAAAATCTCCCCTCCCCATACCAAAAAAGGATACTTCTGCAAATTTGTGATGCTGATTCGTCGCCACAAATCGTCTCTGTATTGCTGGAACGCAAATCCAGAGCCTCCGCCTCGTTTTGCAGGCAATTTGTAACGCTGCGGGGCCTACAGAGGACACGCCTGCCTTGCTAGGCGCCTACACCAAAACGCCCCTGCTCCGGCTTTGTATCTGCCTGCAGTCCTCTACTGCAAGACAAACCCGATTTGTGTACAGAAATCCCGCATCACAGATTTCCACTTTGATATGGGGAGGGGGGATTTTTCGTTTTGATATGCACCGCTCCGCATCGTAAAACTGAAAGGCCTATCCTGTGCAAAAGTATCGTACTCGTAGTAATCCCATTCATGCATTACAAGTTTTTCTTTTTTTCTCAAGGTCAAGGTAAATCCGCATTACAAATTTCATTTCTCATGCTGAGGGAATTTGTCATGCATTTAGACGAGTAAGATACTTTTGCAGTTCATAAGGCCCGCGACAGCCGCTCGAGCGAAAGCTGGAGCTGGTCCTATCCATTAGGAATTATATGTCTGGGTCTGGAAACCTGTCATGCTGTGTGTTGATGATTCAGCATAGGCACTTCTCAGTGTCAGTGCAGTTTTTTGGACGCTTCGCCATCCTCACACTTGGTGCGCATTAGAGCTTGCGTTTTTGCATGACAAAAGCGGTCGCGCTTGTGTTGCCCATGCAAAACAGATCAAGACTTATTTACACGAATGCGAAACTACACGCAATAGAGGTTCAACCTTTGTTCGAGACCCCGAGGGCATTTTTATATTTGCAATGCGTAGATCCTGCTTGCTGCTGATTTTCTTTGCTTCCTTGTATGCTCCGCTTGAGTATTTTAGGATTTGCTGGTTGACGCTCTTTGTACTCTTCTCGCCATTTGTACTATTGGTTCCGTGGTCGAGCGACGTGGACCTGGAAGCTGCCGCTGGCCCCGGTGGTCCCGTGAAGGAAGGCTCGGGGTCTGGCTCCATTGACTACTTGTTGGCTTACTCTTAGTTTTGATCGCGATTCAAATTGAAAATGGAATAGATTGTCTACTTCGATGTAGTCGGTGATATTCTAAAATTTTCTATGTGCTTTTCGTAAATGATAGTCCACATAAACTTAGAAGTCGTCCACAACATTCTATGGTAGAAGTACTGGCCGCATATTAGCACTTGTCCGGATCATCCTCTCGGCCTAACTTTTGGCTTTTTTGTTCTACACGAAAAGAACGACGAAGAGAGCTGCTGTCCGACCATCTTCACACAACAAGCAGGACACGACGAAACAACCGGCTTACTTAGCCTTTCGCAAAGGTGGATGGAAAACTGAAAGACACCTAAAAGAAACGGAGACCTGGAAGTAAATGGCATTAGATGATCTGGAAGCAGAAGATTGCTGTCTCTGAGATGTTGAGAGGCACCGAAAGAACTCCGTCGAGAGTTTTGCACGAAATCGAAAGGATCAAGGAAATAACGAACACATGCGAAGGCCTTCGAGGTCGTAGTCGTACGGCCGTTATGCAGCGTAAAAATAACCGCCACATACTTCACCGAGGCTGCTAGAAGCAGCCTTTCGGTTCGACGGGTTTGGAATTTACCAAAAGAAGTACATGTAAATGAAGCGTTAGCGTCCGACGTAACAGAGTGCAGACAATAAGTATACTTCTCGGTGGTCTCAGACTCAAAGCCGAGAAAGAATTCGCGCAAGTATGTGTTTTTTTTTCTGATCCAAATTTTTCAGACCACAAGCGCGACTTGTATTCGGGTGAATACAGATGAGAGTCGCCCAGTAGCCCTTATATATTTGGGGGACAGTCAAAATAAACTCTACATACTTCCTCCGAAGTGTACTTTTGATTCATGCGGCGATAAAGATTTTTACGAAAGTGCAGCTTTCTGCCCTCTGTTTGTCGTATGGGTAGCAGTTGCAAGTCATTGGAAATGGAATGCAGTACTTCTTGGGAGTTTCTTCTTCATCAGGAGCGGGCTACAACTCCCTTACGATGATCGATTCTGGAATAAAATCCACGGGCTACGCTTGTTTGTGCTGATGAGGTCAGACTATCAGACGGGTTACGGATGTTGTATTTTTGTTGATGATGAGGTACTACTCAAGAGGGGACTTTCTGGCAAGATATTCAAAGCTAGTACTTATTTGTATTGCTGATGGTGATGCGAAATGTTGTCGTTCTTGCGTATTTTTTTGTCTATACCTATTTTCTTGTTCACGGAAGCAATTGGGCTTCGAGAAATGAAGTGAAGGTGAACGGGACATGCAGATAGTGTTGCTTATGCTTTTGTAGTTGTAAGACTATCTCTACAGTCGACAATGCATTTATTTTCCCAATTGTATCGCAAATTCACTCACATGGCGAATTCCGGAGAAGAACGAAGAAGAACGAAGAAGAAGAAGTGAAGACGAAGGACATTTCCCGGTCGGCCGAACCCCTTCGTTTGTTCACCAGGCCGCCGGATTTGCATCACAAATTCACATCGTCTTTTCCATTTTCCGAAAATTGTCGTGTTTTGTGTTGAGAAACTGAGAGCTGCAGCTGTCGAAAACGGTTCAGTAATGATGCATGTCACATCATTTCGCTCTACCGTGAGCTTCTTTGAGCGGCGATTCTCATACACAAGTCGCGTTTCCTACTGTGTTGTGGTGAATCTGGTCGCTTGAAATGCACGTTTGTTTCGAACGACTACTAGGACGAAAACGGGAAGATTCTACGCGAATAACTTACCATACGAGACCAAAAAGAACCTGGCCAAAACTAAGAAAAGGAAAGAAAGAAAGATAACGCATGTTCCGCAATCTGTCATGCTGAAAAATCATATGCAACATGTTTGCACATCTACTTCGTACGACTCGTTGCACTACCCTCACAGAAGCAGAAGAAGGAACCTACCTCTGTGCAAGCAGTGATGAGAGGCGATGAGCTTTGATGTGGTTTTTATGCAGCTGGGAATTAATATTTTCACGTCGTATGCCGTACCCGTAGAAAAACGTTTTGATGGAAAAATATTAAAATAAATTTGTACCGTGGAAAGCACAAAAGGAGGAATCATCTAGAGTAGCGCTTTTTGTTGTTTATTTCGTGGAAATACTGATCGTGGTGCGAGTACCTATAAAAACTCGCGCGAGTACTTTATACTTATTCTGAGGTCGCGAAGATGCATCAGGTTTGTGATAGAGCTCAGGTTGTAGAAGTTGTAGCTGGTAGTGAGAACCAGGAGTGTAGTGATCTTGATCATGCTGCCGCCTCGTAAAAACAAAAAATGACAAAAGATAAATTTCTTATACAAATGTCATTTACCGTCAAAAAGCGACTTACCGATCAACGCATCGGCATGGCGGTGTTGGGGATGCCAGCACACGCAGTCGCACACAACTCTGAAGGCGAGGTGGCTGTGCCGGTCGAGACCATTTCCTCGCAGTTGGCCCAGTCGGGAAAATCGGCGCAGCGCTTCTGCGCTCCCACGATCGGGAACGTCGTTGGGTATCGAATGCGAATAGGTGTGGGTCCGAAAGGTTGTCATGCCAGTACTTACATGAGTGGTAAGTTATGGCTACTGCCTCAGGTGGGATGCAGGCGGGCATGAGCAATGGATGAGCGATTGTCATTGTTCCGCAGTGCCAGTGCGCATTAACCCGCATTAGAAATCGCAATTTCGCACGGCACGGAGAAAGGGGCGGGCCCTACCATAACTCTGTATACATGCAAGTACAGTAGATTTCAAGAGTCTGCAAATTTAGCGTACTTGCAAGCGCTGTAATCTTTCAGACCAGACACATTATTTGCAAGACATACTGGGAAGGGAGAAACGGTGTTTCCTCCGATCGGCTTCTTCGGGCGGTCCATCGCCGCCTTCCAATTGTTCCCCGCAGCCCCCCAAGCATTCGCTGCCTGCCAATCGGCCGCGCTCGTTTTCCCCGCACCGGGCATCGCCTCGGGCTCCGCCGTCGCCGCCTGCACAATCGCTTCCTCCTCTTCTTCGTCGTCCTTGGACGGACCCCACGTTCCTTTGTTCGCTCCGGGGACGTTGGACGGACCCCACGTTCCTTTGTTCGCTCCGGGGACGCTGGACGGACCCCACGTTCCTTCGTTGGCTCCGGGGACGCTGGACGGACCGTGCGTTCCTTCGTTGGCTCCGGGGACGCTGGACGGACCGTGCGTTCCTTCGTTGGCTCCGGGGACGCTGGACGGACCGTGCGTTCCTTCGTTGGCTCCGGGGACGCTGGACGGACCGTGCGTTCCTTCGTTGGCTCCGGGGATGCCCACGTCCTCGTTCGTGGCTCCCTTGTTGCCCTGATGATGGTGTCGGTGGTGGTGGTGCCCGCCGCGGCCGTGCTGTTGGAAACCAGGAAATAAATAAGTATTTTTTTCAAGGAAATAAATAACGTAAATCTATTTTTTTGGAACAGTTGTTCTGCAAAGTCCGAAACTGTTTCTTCGCAAGCACTTACATAAAGTTCAAGCTCCTGAAAATAGAGTCCTCCTCTACATCAATACAATTGAATGTGAAATTGGTCGGCAAGGACAGCCTCAGGTACGAAAAATGCTGTTGCTGGAATATATTATTTAAAGGTCTATACCCCCTTCGGCTTGTTGCCTGCTCCGACTGCCGCACCGGTCTGGTGCCGGAACAGCTTGCCAGCCACCTCGTCGGTAAGTGCGTATGGAACAGAAAAAAAGGGCGTGGTCAGCGACACGACATCTTAGAGGGTCGACACGGGAGCTTTTCGTTTTCATCTCACGGAAGTGAAGAACGCTGTAGAAGTCGTAGTCGTAGAGGTAAGTAGTGTTCTACTTGGCCGTGCCAAAGCAATGCAAATTCTTGGGAACTACTATGTGCAAGACCCTGAACTCGGATACTTTTCAAGTCATGCATTTACAAGCCTTCATTGACCAACGCACCCTCTTCTTCGTCCATAAAGTGGCGGCGACAGCAACCTTCGCGAAGACACGCATCTTGCTTTTTCTCGGTTCTTGTGCAGCTGAACAAGATGTGACTTAGACTTACTTACAAGCTACTAAAACGTAAACTTGTGATGTGGGAAAAAAAATGTGCTGGAGTGATATATTTGCACGACGTAGGAGCGTTGTGAGTTTTACTTAAGTTTTTTGCGATTCCAAAAGATGACCCGAGTGGTATTTATTCTGGAAAGCTAAGCAAGCCTAGCAGGAGGGTTGTCTTCCTTCAGAACGACGAACGTTTTTCAGGGTTTTACTTTTCTGTGCGGAACAAGGACATAAAGCGTAAATTCATTTTTTTATACATCACGACGAGCAAACTACTTTACTATCGACGAGGAGAAGTACGATGAGGTCACATCACCCGACGAAGTGGCCCGCGAATACTACTTCGCACGAACTACGAACTACAAAAGGAACTGTCGCTTTTACCAATTCGACGGACAAGATCTTCACCCACAGAAAACGAGTACGAATACGATTCATCTGAGTCTGACGAAATTCTATTTATCGTCGTGGTAATCGTAGTGATACGCATGATTCGTGAGTGCACGAACTTTACTAGTATACAGGAGAAGCTTTCAATGCGTCTCCTGCCCACCGGCGGCACGACCTGACTTATTACAGAAACGAGTTGGAGCCTTCCCAGAGTAACGAAGCCAGTGACTTGTTCAGTTCGTGTAGAAACACACTAACCACGACCGGGAAGTAGAGGAACGACTGTTGTTTGACCTCTGACGAGGAACGATGAAATAGGACGAGTCGACGGTCATGAATGTGGCGCTGCCTTCTCTACTAGTCGATAGAACGCAAAAACATGCGTGTTTGTTGTAGCAGGAGTAACGCGGCTCTTACCGCACAAATTACGAACGGAACACGGATGCGAAATTATCTGCGATTTCTTGGACCAGGGAGAATGAGGAAGAAGAATGATCTCTTGTCTACTACGACGCCACCGGCGAAAATTCTTTTTAATCAAGCGAAACGGTAACGGCAAAGAGAGCACTTGCATAGTGAACGGGTTACGTTGCTTGCACCACACGAGAAGCGTCGCACTATCTGAGTCATCTCTGAAGCGATGTAAGTACGCTATCCAAGGAAAGAAATTTGTGTTGGATGTTCAGTTCGCCTTGAATGTACTCTACAGAAGTTGTGGAAAGTAGCCGCTTCGTATTCCGTCTTGACTCGAGCAGGTAGTACGTGCTGCGGTGGACTAGAGATGTACATCGTGGCATTTTTTCAGCTCATCTAGCCAATTCAATTTCCTTCCTGCGCTACTTTCCTCACAACATGTAGCACTCCGCCGCTCCTTCGCGTTGACGATGTAAATTCATTTTTCGCGGTGCTACGGCTCAAAATTTACAGAAATGGAAGCTCTAGGATAAAAACGCCTTGCCGCCACATTGTCCGCTTTGGTAGCGATCTTCACGTCCGAGTATTTAAAGACGCGAACTCTACCTAAGCGTGGAAGACGTTTTGGAAAATATGACAAAAAAAGATCGCGGGATGTTCGGACAAAGAAAAGTAGCTCTACTCGTAAAATGTTTCTCATGCTCTTCGTGTTGCGCTGCAACGAACTGCAACAATAACACAATTGCGTGTGCGCTGCAACAGAAAACTGTGAAAGAACATGACTCGATTTATCTTACGTGGAAAATGAGACGAATTTCATAAAATAAGTGGACTTACTACGACTTCAATGACTGTTCGATGCTCCTACTGTATCCGATTCCTACCTCCTGCAAAGGAAACTACTTACAACTACATGCTGCTAGACAAACAGTCGTGTGCTTGTGCCAAAATGTACAGGAAATTCATACGAACTACTGGGATCGAGTACATTAAACGCATAGCAGAAAAATGTCAAGTGAGAGCTCTCAATCAAGAAAAAAATCTTGTACAGAAGGGAAAATCAAGAGAAAAGTTCTAGATGAGATGAAACAATGTATACCCAAAATAGAAGGGGTTAGATTAAGTTCTTTAACTCACGAAAAGGAAAACCACGAAAGATTGCGCGGAGGACGACGGAATACAATAGTCGATACAACGAAAATGATTATATAGGTTCTCGATCGAAGTATCTTTAGGTTGTGTTGAATCAGTCACGGAATAGAAGACTGCTCCATCCATACTGGGGACTTCAAACAAAAGAATTTCTGATGAGCGATTGACTGATTGAATTGAATGCAGATTCACTCTGTGCCTGTTCGATGCTGTCACATCAAGCGTAAAATCAGACTTAATTCTAAACTTGTTCATTATTAGCGGTGGTAAACACAGTTTCTATTTGTAAACTTCCACATTCCTACTGACTTCTTCCTCTCTCATTTTGTAGGTTATTTTTTTTGTTTTGGAAAACCAGCTACGGTAAACGAGCGGAGGGCTGTTCTCTTCTTGAAGGTTCGCATTAGTTAATTTCCTGATGCTGATATATAAAGATCTGCTGGAGAGCCTTTCGGATAAGTAAATTCGGGAGGTGCACCTCTTTCATATCGAACGCATCATTGCGGTAGACTAGAAGTTTTCCTTTTGCATGGCCCGCATCAGAGCGACCACGCTGTCCAACTGCGGCTGGTCGTGGCTGGATTGTTCTTCTCCTTGTCCCGCGGACTGTTCCTGCTCCCCACGTTCTCTTCCTCCCTGCAGCCCGTTCACCATTCCGTTTACTTCCGCGACCACCTGGACCGGAGCTGCTGCTGTATGGCCTGCTCAAACGTTACAATCTCAAACGTTACAATAGAATCTGGCATTTGTGTTGCATAATGAGCATGACAGACTCGCAGACCACTCCACTTCTTGCAACACAAATTTCGGCAGATTGTAGTGCGGTTTGGGACTCCGGAACTTGTCATGCGCAGTCCTATGCGACTTGGCTAGATTATGCACTTCTTGCATCACAGATTTCCAAATTCTATTGTAACGCTTGAGATTGTAACGTTTGAGCAGGTCATACGCTGCAACAGCTGCTTCTACACCTTCCTCGTACACGCCGTGGTAGTCGAAGGCCGCCCCCTCGCGCCAGGTCTTCATAAACTTCTCAAACCGGGTCACTTGGCCGCGCATATGCTTTGCAAATATCGATCTGGGTCTGGGTTTGTGATGCGGGACAACTTCAAGAAGGACGACAATGATCATTTGTGATCCATAAAATGCGACTCGGCCAATTTTTTGTCCATGACAGTTTGCAATGCTAAGTACGAATGGATTCGCACTGAGCAGAAAATAAACTTCTCATGCTGTTACGCCGTACAAGCAGTCAGTCTGCAGTGCAAGTATCAGCAACACAAGTTTATTCCAGACCGAGACATATTATAATTTGCATTTGATACCGCAGGACGGCAAGCGACTTCTCGTCCTCGGTCTGGGTCAGGTACGCGAGACAGGCACTGGACTGGTGGGAAACGGACCGCATCTCCATCTCGTTCAAAAGTCGCATTCCGGGGAGGTTTTCCTTCTCCGCATCGATGTAGTGCTCGAGGAAATCGCCGTCGTGCTTCTTCCGGATGTTCTGCACCCGCCGGACCGCCTTGCCCAACTCCGCTGACGACTCGAAGGCGTTGTCGTATCGAATGCAAACATGTCTGGGTCTGGAAGAGCTTGTTGGGGGGGTTTGTCATGCAACTTGTACATGACCCGCGACGCCTGTGATGCATGCTCGGGCATCACAGGAGCTTTCGCGAAGGGTTGGTCATGCCTAGCCGACATGAGAAGGGCCCTCGTCTGCTCAGGGTGGCACCAATCTGAGTGCCTTTATTTTTTGCTGCTTTATGCAATACAGATTTTTGCGTGATCGAAAATTAGCATCACAAATCGCGTCTTTCCTGGCCCAGACACATTTGCAGAATGCATATGTCGAGCTTGTTCACGTTCTTCAGCAGGTTTCGCTCGGCCTTGCCCGTTATCAACTGCAAATATGTTTGGGTCTGGAAGAGTCATGCCTTCTTTGCATGACCCATGACGCCTGTAATGCATGACCTAGCATCACAGATTTTTAGTAGAAGGCTTCCTGATGCCTATTCCGCATGAGAAATGCCATCCCGGCGCAGCACAAACTGGAGGCCACCTCTTGCTGGTCATGCAATGCAGATTTTTTTTAGCTTCCAAAGTTAGCATCACAAGTTGCACTCTTCCAGACCCAGACATATTTGCAATGCATACCCGTCTTGTCCCGGATCGCCCCCGTAAACGCCGACCGCAGGAAGGTCCGCTTTTTCACAGACAGAGTGCTGGGTTTCCAGTCTCGCGGGAAGGTAGCCACGTACAGGGGATTATGCTGTGCAAAAATGTTACAACCACTTCGACTTCCGAACCACTGCATATTATGCAGTGGTTCGGAAGTCGAAGTGGTTGTGATAGCAGTACCAGCCTTGACTGACCACGATAGGTTGCTCTGTTCGAGTGAGTTATTTGGGCAGACGGAAGTTTTTCGTCTGTAAAAATGCATTGAAGATGGTGGAAGTATGTTGTGGTAGCAGTGCAGGAACTTTTTTGCAATGCATAAAAGTACTCGAGGTCCTGATCTTCGGCGTCTAACTTCTTGTGACTACCCTGGCGGTTAGATCTCCCCAACCACTGGTAAAAGTCGTTGACAGACTGCGGAATCGTCAATAGGTGACACTCACGGACCTGTGATGATGATGAAGTGATTTTGATATATCTTCTCATTTACGACAAAGAGAATTTTCATTTTGAGTCCAAAATTGGACAACATTAAAAATCCTGCACTCGCAATTGGTCATCATGTTGACGAGAAGGAAAAACAACAAAAAAATCACCAGTGCTTCTTCTAGTTCTGTCTCAAAACAATACGCTCATGAAGCTGACGCCTTCCCCGCAGGTGTCCGTGTCGGCCACAAGCACGAGGTATTTTTGCCCGAACAAGTTGTTGTCCGCGTTGAACTTTTCCATGGTGCCGGCCACCTGCGACTTCTCCCGCAAGGACAGGACCCGATATCAAAGGCAAATATGTCTAGATGTCTGGAAACTTGTGATGCTGAGCTGTGGATGATTGAAAGATTTCCCAATTCAGCCAAGCATGACAAGTTATTTGCGCAATTATACTTGCTCATGGTGCGCAGCCCGCATGAGAACCTGCTGCGCTTTTGTATGACAAAAGAAGGCGTCTTCTGGTTGGTCACGCAATACAGATTTTACAGGCATGTAGGACTAGCATTACAAGTTCCATCGATCTTTCCGGGCCCAGACATATTTGCATTTGATACCCGATTTTTCCCGACCATCTCGCCCAAAATGTCCACGACCGTGTTGAACCCCTGCTGCTTGGACACCAACGCCATATCATTTGTAAAAACGTCCCCACCCCATAGTCAAGATGGGAAAGCTGCTACACAAATCATCAAGCTTTGGCTGTTGCGCATGACAAATTTGGGCTAGTAATGTAGCCACGTTTAGCTAGTGCAGCAGCATCACAGATCCAGTTTATCATGCTGATTTGGGCATCACAAATCTCAAAACACCACTAGAAAAAGCTTCTCATGCGTCTTCGCATGAGAAACATTTCAACCACGCAGATTCGCATTACACCTCTGGGGTGTTTATGTACTGAAAAAAACCAAAAACAAAACAAAGCACAGTTACAACTCTGGGGTGGGGACGTTTTTACACAGGATATACCAGTGCCTTCAACTCCATCTCCCTCACCCGGTCCCCCACACGATACACCTTCGACGCAAACGCCTCGATGCTGGATATGGATGTTTCAGGGTCGAAATCGACAAAAAAGAAAAATTTGTGATGCATAAAATGTAGGGCACTGGAGGCCTGTATTGGGGAGTAGGCAAATGAGACCGATTGTGAACCTGTTTAGGGGAAGAAGATGCGCTGCCAGAGTAGCACGACAGGAGCAGTGTTCTTTGCCTAAACAGCACGACAGACTGGATTTTGGCGCTCCCGAAATTTGTCATGCGCCACGTGGAAACTGAGGCTCCAAGTGGTATCGATTTTATGCATCACAAATCATTTCGATTTTGTTGATTTCGATTCTGACACTCCCATACTGGACTCATCCGCGGTAAGCAGCTTCGCCTTCTGGTCTTCCCGCGACGCGCTCTGCGGCTATCAAATGTAAAAATGTCTGGGTCTGGAAGAATGCCAGACTTGTTATGCAGGTTTTCCATGACCCATGAGCTCTAGTCTGTAGGACAGAGCATGACAGATTCTGTGAGAGTTCTATCATGCGTATCCTGCATGAGAAACTGCCTCTCGATTAGGTCAACAGTGGACAGCTTTTGGTAATCACGCAACGCAGATTTTTACATAATCCAGATTTAGCATGACAACTTGCCTTGTTCCAGACCCAGACATTTTTACATTTGATAGCGGCGGCATCCAGACCACCCCGCGCGCCAGCAGCCGTTTTTTCGAAGCCGGGTCGCCCAGGCTGTTGTGATCGGATAAAGCCATCCAGGTCCGCAGGTATCGCAGGTAGACCCCGCTGCCCATCGGCACGCGCACCACGTTCGCGACCCGGTAGGGCAGTTTGCCAACCGTCCCCATGGCCGACTCCTGGAAACCCAGCCCGTACTTGTACCGCTTGGTGGTCAGAATTTTCGGGAACCCGGCAACGCCATCAAAATGGCTCACGTAGCCCTCGTTGTTGCGGCTCAGGAGCACGTCTCGTAGTCCTTTAACCAAATCCAACAACTTCTGCGGGTTCACAGATGATCTCCCATTCACGGCCTGATTCCCGCTCACCGCGGGCGCGGGCGTGGCCGTGAGGAAGACAACGCGGGTGTTCTCGTTCGTTCGCTTCAAAGCGTCGCAGAGTTTTTCCAATTGCGCGCGGTACTGGGACTGCTCCTTCACCGCATTGTGCGCTTCGTCCAGGAGGACAATCGTGTTGTCGTACAGATTTTGGTCCGACCAATCCTGTTCCTGCTTCTTCGATCCGTCAGCGCTCTTCACCTTCGGGGGCAATTTCTTTCCAAACCGGAGAATGACGTCCGGATTCTTCTTGTTCATCGCACTGCCGTATCAAATGTAAAAATGTCTGGGTCTGGAAGAGTCGGGGCTTGTCATGCACATTTTGCATGACCCGTGAGGTCTGTGATGCTGGTGCTAGCATCACTGATTTTTTGAGAGCATGTTGATACTAATCACGCATGAGAAATGCTCTCTCCGCGTGCCAAGAACTGCCTCCTCTTGCTGCTCATGCAACACAGATATTTCTAGAATCCGCAGAGAGCACTACAAGTTCCACTCTTCCAGACCCAGACATAGTTGCAATCCGTATGCCGCCCGCGCACCCGTAGCTCAGGACCCGGACCGGCGCTTTGGGGAAGCAAACCTGGGGAAACCGCTCGATGAATTTTTCCGCGAAGCCGTCGCGGATTTGGCCGTTGCGAATCAAGGACTTCATGCCGATCGCGGCCTCCATGGAAGAAATCATCTCCCGCTTCGGGTTGGTCCACTCCTGATCGAGCCTCTTCGCCCAAGACTTCGATCTCGCAGCAGTCCGGGCAAACTCTTGGTTCTCCGCCGCCCAGTAGGTTCTCCACTTCGAGGGCCAGCGGATTAACTCGAGCAGGAAATTCCGGCGAATGTTGTCCGTCGGCACGATGACCACCTTCGGGTTCGGGGAAAGAAAAAACTCGTCGATGACTTGAATCATCGTTCTGGTCTTTCCGGCGCCGGTTCTGTGGTCTACCAAAATTTTCGGCGTGAACCCCGAGCGGAGACCGGCCAGAACCACAGCCTGCTGCGGCAGCGGTTTGCAAGAAGTAGATAACTCGTCTTGCTGTACTACGCCGTTGACCATGTGGTTGTCTGCGCCGCTGGTGTTGATGATCCCTTTTTCCCGCAGCCATTGCCGGTAGAACTGGTTGAAGCCCTCGTCTCCCTGGCGCAAAACGTTGCGTCCCGTGGGTCTCTTCGCGGGGAGTTTTGCGGTCTGGTCCGCAATCGGAAGGTGGGTGAAGGGGTTGTGATTTAGGTTTTCCTCGTTTTCGTTGGTAGAAGTTGTTTCGAGAAGATCACCTTGCAAACCGTCGGCGGCCAGCAGCTGCAAGGCTTGATTTTCATTTTCATCTTCTTCTTCCACCTCGTCGGTGGAGAGATTATTTTTAGTATCGTTGTCGAAGTCCTCGAGTTCGCTTTTGTTTCCCTCATCGTCGTCCTCCTCCTCTTCCAACTCCCCGAACTCGTCCCGCAACGGTTTATCTTTGTTGTTCCGTGACAGAATTCCCTGCGCCGGCTGGTTCATCCGCAACCCGTTGAGATTGAAGTTATTCAGCGTCGCAGCATTTCTGGTGACAAGTTGTAAATTGCTATTTCCGGCAGATAAGATGTTGCCGTTGACAGCGCCAGCAGACTGTGGTCGCCGCTGGTGCTGGTGGAACAAGCTGCTTGCACCGAAAGAGGAAGAGGATGCCGATGCGGGATTTTTGATGATATTAGCGCCCGAAGAGGAAGAAGAGGACGAAGAAGATGATGCTCTTGTTTGCTGCAGAACGTGGCTGTTGTTCTGTTGCTCCTGCATGAGCACATCATCCACATCCTCCTGCTGGTGCTCCTGATATCAAATGCAAAAATGTCTGGGTCTGGAAGAATGCAAGGTTTGTCATGCCTGTTTTACATGACCCATGATGCCTGTAATGCATGATCTTGCATCGCAGATTTCTAGAAGGCTTCCTGATGCCTATAATTCCGCATGACAAACGCCCTCCCCGCGTAGCACAAACTGGAACCCTCTTGCTGGCCATGCAATACAGATTTTCTTAGAGTCCAAAGCCAGCATCACAAGTTCCAAACTTCCAGACCCAGACAGTTTTACATTTGATACCTGAAGAGCCAGCGCTATCTCAGCGTCGAATAAAGAATCTTGATCGAACAACGACCCCGCTGCAGCAGGCACAGCTTCTTGTCCCGCCCCGAACAGGTTCATTTTCGAGGTAGTAGCTGCACCGTAGTTCTTCGCGGGTGTTGGTGCGTCGAAGATGATGGCCCCGCCCGCAGGAGCTCCTGCTCCAGTGGCGATACAACTTCCGGAAGCAGCTGCTCCAACTCCCGAAGCTGCAGTGTGCAACCGCTTCGTGGGCGGCGACGCGCCGGGAACGTGCACCCGCGGCTGCTTGAAGCTCTTCGCCGGCGACGGCATGCTCCTGGGGGTAATATCGAACGAAGTTTAGCGATACTAGTACTTCTCAGTAGGGTTGTACTTGGAAGCGGATAATTCAAGTTTGCTGTTGCACAAACATACGAAAACGCACAAAGCGTTTCACTGTGTTCCGCAAGGATAGATACTACAGGTGTTCCACAGACGGGTTAGTACGGAGCTCGTTCTAATTCAAAAATAACTGGCAATCTATCATCGTGGCCGTCTTGTTCAAGTAGACATATTGCCGGTTTGCCATCATCTATGTTTTCTGACAAAAATACGAGAAGCACGAAAAACAGAAATGAGCAACTATTTTTCGAAGTATTCTCTTTTGCTTCGCTCTTTTTCTCTCTCGAACGCGAGTCTCACCCTCACTCTCGGAACAACCATCTCACGGCATCAACGAGAACGAGACAAAAAAAAAAACCGACGATCAAAAAAACTCCCCAAAAATATCGAACGATTTGCGTCGAACAATTATGGCAAAGGTAAAAGGCTTTTTTTTGTGATTCATCATGCATGCGAATGGATTGGTCCTTAATGACGCAAAAAGTAACAACAACCCAACATGAAACTGATAAAAATCTCTTTCAGAAAAGGAAAAATTAGCTCGAGAGCTGCAGTGACCTTCTTGCTGTTCTTGCCATGTTGTTTTTTAGTCCTGATTTTGCATGATCGATAGGGTATTCACGTTCCACTAAAAGGCGTGCTGTCTCACCTTCCAGCTTTTCGATTTATTCGTAGCGTGATATGCATATGCCCCTGCTCACTAGATGTTTGATATGATCACGAGATGTCGTCAATTTTGCGATGTCATGCTCACAAAAGAAGTTCGACTTTGTCCTAGAAAAGTAGTACGAGATGGACTACAAATAGCAATAGCTGCATGTAAGAATAAATCGCTATGTGTAGTACCAAGAGAATCTTCGAATCGTATTCAGCATGAGATTTGGAATCACCATCCCTTTCGGGCAATAGAAAGAGCGAGTTGTAGTCCAGATCATGCGTGATTCTCACATAAGATCATAAGCGCAGTTGTAAGTACTTACTTATCGTGTGGGTCCTCGTGCAGCGGAACCTCCTGACTGCTCTCAAAGTCGAAATAGAAGTAGCATTCGTATCCATAAGTTGTACCAAGCAAAGCAAAGATGTTGAATGGCTATGGCGCTTAGGCTTATGAATCCTACGAAATAAACCCTTTGTTCCCTAAAGTACTGACGCAAAAAAGAACTACCAGCGCGTTCCGCTTTGATGGTACACGCGGAAGTAACTAAGTACGTCGATAGCCACAGCCACTCGAAGTGATCGTGTGATATGTTTAAACTAACAGCATTTTGCTTCCTGCTTGACGTTGAGCTACTCTCTCTTCATCACATTCCCAAGAGCTCCTCGCGCACAGTGGGCAGCAGGGTGCTGTTGTTCGTTGTCCTGGCATAGTTGTAGAACTTCTTCATCAGTATTCAAAGGAAGCCGGAGTCTGTCACCAACGGGGATTTCTTGTCGTATAAAAAATGCCACAACTCACTCGAGCCTGGAAAAGACTCTGGAAGATTATAAATATAGTAGTACGACCATGCAACCCAACAACTAGAACTACTACTTACCAGTGTAAGCGTCTTTTTAGCGTGAGTACGATGGATTACGCTCATGCTGTAGTGACTCTACATGATCAAACTACACCCTAGCACATCTTCCCCTGGACGAGGTCCGCTAGCTTTCCATACCATTGCGATTCCGCAGCACAGTCGGTGGCCCGAGCAGGTCCGAGTCCACCAGCCTCAGCAGCGGCGCATTCTGTTCTAGTCTGGAAGTCGACATAGTGGATGTACTTAATGAAAAAATCGGCATTAAATCTGCACTGGATGCAGCTGTTTTTGGTGTACTAGTTCTGGCAGTGCTACCCGTTACAATAGCTGCACCCGCGGTCGCTATTTCTTCCGCGGTTTTAGAAAGCCCAGTGGTTGTCGTGCACAAAGAAGCCATCGAGGTGGCCACGAGGGAATCCTTGGCGTTGAAATTGAGGGCTTGTCGCTTCTTCCGGATGTTCCGTGCCATTTCTTGCACGGATGAAATTTTCGTCTTCACACTAGGCACCAGCACGGCGACCTGACACAAGGCGGCGGAAAAATGTTAAGAAAGGAGAAGGAGTTCAAACATCAATAAATCAATGAAAAGGACCAGGGAGGTATTTGCTAAAGGTACTAAAGCTGTTAAAACACATAATCTTCGCACACGAAAAAATCTTTCCTATGCTCTTAGCAGGCGACCCCAAAACATCAAGAAGTTCCTCATACGTTATACCTGCGCCAACTCCGGTCCGCCACCAGTCGTCATTGTGAGAGCTGCTGAAGAGGAGCTGCCGCTAGCGATGAAATTGTTATTCCGATTGTGGTTCAGAATGTTGATCGAGTATGGATTGAAAAAACCTCCCCAGGAAGGTGATCTACCTCTGTGGTCAGAATGTTGATTGAGTATGGACTGTGGCTGGCCAGGAAGGTGATCTACCTCTCCCTCCGCACGTCGCCGCGCAAGATTGCGGAGCGAGATCCGGAGGCAGAAAAGACGGGCAGCCTGCTCCGCGTACCAAGGAACGCGCGAGGCGAGGCGGCTTGCCTGGCGTAGATGCCAGCCTAGATCTCGAGGGAAATGCTGACCCCCAAATCAGCCA